TATGCTATATGCTCAGATAGTGACAAGCCAGTGCTATATGCTATGGTCAGATAGTGACAAGCTAGTGCTATATGCTATATGCTCAGATAGTGACAAGCTAGTGCTATATGCTATATGCTCAGATAGTGACAAGCTAGTGCTATATGCTATATGCTCAGATAGTGACAAGCCAGTGCTATATGCTATATGGTCAGATAGTGATAGTGACAAGCTAGTGCTATATGCTATATGGTCAGATAGTGACAAGCCAGTGCTATATGCTATATGCTCAGATAGTGACAAGCCAGTGCTATATGCTATGGTCAGATAGTGACAAGCTAGTGCTATATGCTATATGCTCAGATAGTGACAAGCTAGTGCTATATGCTATATGGTCAGATAGTGATAGTGACAAGCTAGTGCTATATGCTATATGGTCGGATAGTGATAGTGTCAAGCTAGTGCTATATGCTATATGGTCAGATAGTGATAGTGACAAGCTAGTGCTATATGCTATATGCTCAGATGGTGACAAGCTAGTGCTATATGCTATATGGTCAGATAGTGATAGTGACAAGCTAGTGCTATATGCTATATGGTCAGATAGTGATAGTGACAAGCTAGTGCTATATGCTATATGCTCAGATGGTGACAAGCTAGTGCTATATGCTATATGCTCAGATAGTGACAAGCCAGTGCTATATGCTATATGGTCAGATAGTGACAAGCTAGTGCTATATGCTCAGATAGTGACAAGCTAGTGCTATATGCTATATGGTCAGATTGCTACTTCACTGCTAGTGTAGTGTGAGAAACTAACAATATCATTCTGCACATTGTGGTCAGAGACAGTCAGTGCTGCCTGTCAAGAGTGAGCTAAAACTTCCTCTTTTATCATATTTTAAGACAGAGACTCAGAAGCAATTTCAACCTAATCTTCTTTATAGTAAACTTTGTATTCTGTGTCACTGTGTCTTGAAAAGAATTACAGTATGATAAAAAATTAATGTAAATCAACTACCCTGTCTATTGAGTTAACTTCCTTTGACTATTGATACAACAAGAGACATTCCATCCCCATGTTAAATTTGTCAGCAGCTGATGTTTAATCAAAATTGTCGTAGTTGATGTGTACCACCGACAGATTATTGTGCTATTGTCTAGTTGATGTGTACAGTACCACCACAGGCTGATCTAAAGTTAGTTAATTCTGTCAAATACTCAAACATCTTTTACTAGGCAAAACTTATGGAATTACTTATTCTGAGCTGTAGCAAGAATTATGACCCATCATTGGTCAGCAACAAAAAATAAGGTGTCAAATAGAATTTTAGACACTAGCACATTATGTGCACATTAAGTGTGACAGCAGGTCCATATAGATGGGATATCTATTTCAGTATTCAGTAGTCAATGCCCGCACTCTCGAGCAACTAGCAAGCCTAATATTGGGAATAGATAATAAATTCACCTGCAGCTCTGGGTATACCTGAGGTGTGTTTTTAGTTTAACAATGCTGTGCTGTCCTTTGTTAAAAACACACAGCTTGCATGTTATCACCTACAGCAGCAGTTTGCAAATAAGTATGGCATTTGATGCTCACTCCTACTTCAAACTGAGTGAAGTATAATGGCAAATTGCAACGATTTTGTCTGTTTTATTTACTTACAGTTAGTGCTTGTCTTTCCCATCATACAGTTCAAAGCAGGTAAAGATTTTTTTTATTATTGAGCTTTTGGAATAAAAACACTTAATGAACAAGTTGAATAAACACTTGATGGATACTTATTATTCCATCTTGACTTTGTTTGGAAGTTTACTTGTTAACTTACTAGTTTAGTTTTTAAAATGTAATGATAGTGTATATTGTAAATGTATGTTGTATATTGTAATGTTGAGGTTAAGTGGTAGAAAGGACTTGCTAGTTTTAACTTCGCCTCTTAAATAAAGACATTTTTCATTTCATTTCATTCATTTCATTTCATTTCATTTCATTCATTTCATTTCATTTCATTTCATTCATTTCATTTCATGATATGTACAGTAAAACTATTGGTATCTAATAGTTTATTAGGACAAATCTAATAATTTAGATTCATAGGAATCTATTAGGCACCCATTTTCAAAAGAACATTCATTTACATAATAGTTATATAAAAAAGTTTGTTTAAGCATAATCATAGATAAAACATACTCCCTGTCTATGGCATAATTCAATCCTATTTTTTATCTATTTGAAACAGATGTTTATTTATCTTACTAGCTGTAACCCGCGGGCTCCCAGACAGCACACTTTATCCCAGGGACATCCCATAGTAGTCCCATATGTCCTGAGAATGTCTCGGGATATGTGCGCTATCCTCAGGATATCCCGCAAAATCCCGGGACGAGTACGAAATCCACAGGATATCCTACAATATACCGTAATGTCCCGGGATTTGTAAGTTAACCTCAGGATATCCTGTAAAGTCCCGGGATATGTACGAATGCCATAGGATATCCCAGAATGTCCCATGACATCCCGGGACATGTACAAAATCCACTGGATATCCTGTAATGTCCCGTAATGTCCCGGTAACAAACTGAAGAAAAAAAATACTACCACTGATGAAATGTACAGTATATCTAAATTTAAATGTTCAACAAGGCCAATATATAATAATTTGTTTTTTTCACTAGTGCTTTCAGAAACTTGGTTTCCATCTTCAGGCTGTACTAGTACAAAAAGTAAATATTTACTTAATAAATTAATTTTAAACAAAGTTAAAACAGATGATTTAAAGGATATTGGAAAAATAAAAAAATAATATTAGAAAAATTAATCTTTTGAATTTTGGATATGTTACAGTGTTGTTCTTGATGTAATTATTTTCAGTAATTCCGAATTTATAATTGGGCCGTCTTCATTATTTAACAAATAATTTTGGTCTGTTTTTTTTCTAAAAATAAGATTCCCACGCATTAAGATGTTGAGGTTTTATAATTTATTTTAAAAGTTTAAGGTTTCCCAGATTGAAAATATGTCTTGTTAATACTATGGCTAGCAAGGGTTGACTTTACTTTACTGACATATTACTACCACTGAGTTCAGGAAAACTAGAGTTCTATCATAGTTGTGTGAAATGTGAATTTAATTCTAACTTTAAATTAATAAAACAACAAAAAACTAACTTTAATCATATAACAATCAATTATTACAGTGCTAATCTAATGGTGATTAAATAATCTATATTCAAATACCAGTATCCTCTCCAACTACCAGAAAAACAATTCAACTACTTGAGGTCTAAACAGATTAACAGAATCATATATAGCCTATACTGTAGTATCAAAAATATTTTAAGTATTGCGACTATTGCAACTGTCGGCTACTCTTTACCACTTGAAAACACCCATAATCAACAAGCGCAGATAGCTCAGGAGGTAAGGTAAGAGGCTCACAAGGCGAAGGTACCAGGTTCAAAACCCGTCTGGGCCAAAAACTTTTTTCTCGTTTTTTTCTTCAAAATTTGTGTTTATTAACTATTTAATCACTTTACTAAACTTATAATTAAGCTTTTCATACTAAATCTATATTATTTTGTGTTTTTTATGTTCAGGCCCAGACCACACTTTATCCCAGGGACATCCCATAGTAGTCCCATATGTCCTGAGAATGTCCTGAGGACTACCCTGGGATGACCTCGGATGTCCCACGGATATGCGTGTGAGCTTATCCGTAGGACATCCCCGGGCGGGGACATTAGGCATTCCTGTGGATATCCTGTGATATCCCAAGTTGACCATAGGACCACTATGGGATATCTTGCATATCCTGTCGCAATATCTGTGGGATGTCCTGAGGAGAAAGTGTGCTGTCTGGGGCTTTGCCCCGTTTAACTTCTTAATTTTCAAGATGATCTCGTTCGCATGGCTCAATCACGTCCTGGTTGAAGTTCGTTCGCTACGCTCACTCACCTTTGGGTTGGAGCTCGTTCGCTGCGCTCACTTGCCTTCAGGTTAGCTCGTTCACTACGCTAACTCGCCTCCAGGTTGAAGTTCGTTCGCTATGCTCACTCACCTTTTGGTTGCAAATTAGCTGTTGTCATAAATGTAAAAGAAATAATAGTGCTACACCCTGTTGGTAATCCTTGTAACTTTAATGCTATTGAACATCATAGAACAGAACCAACTTGTTTAATTGAAACAGCTGTTAAGATTCATTAATTCCATTTCTCATAAGGTTAACATGGGAAACTCCAGAGCCACTGGGGCGGAGCCGATTGGACGGATCACGAAATTGATGGTGTATAAACCTATTCCATGAAATTCTACACGTATGTACCAAGTTTCGTGGCAATCGGTTCAGCGGTGTCTGAGTTGATCACTGCCAAATATATATATACAAACATCCTCTTTTATACTTATAGATTATTTAGGAAGAAACAAGTATAAGAAAAAAACCCTTATCAATGTGGTTCTGATTTATACTCCGTTCACAAAATTTAGGCGGTTTTAGGGGAAGAAGAAATATACCCTCCACTTCGTCCTACCTTTAAAACAATAGCTCTACCTCTGAGGTTTGCCAAAACTTCAATCAGCTGCAACATATAAGCATCCAATACTCTAAAACAAGCGCGTGCGCTTATTTAAACAGCGTGCGGTTTTGATTCAATAATTAACTTATTTAATAAATGTTTTATTGAATCCGAGCAAAGCTCGGTCTAAGCGCCCAAGTACTTAACTAAAAAAAAGGAGAGGCGGCACTTCCCCTCAAACCGCCTCAATTTTGAGAACAGACTTCAATTGGAAATAGTGTGATAGTTTTTAATTTAAATTTCAGATATCCAGCCAGTATCGCTGCTTAATTTTTTATTTATATTACTTTAGCATTCTCATAAGTATCACTCATAGCTTGAAAAGTTTGCTGCCCTTATAAAAGAAATTCAGAGTGATTGATGACAACATGTGTATAGGTTATGCCAGTATCATACTAACTGTATATGTCTGTACCTAACTAATAGCATTCTATGTGTTTTCAGGCCACAGGTACGGGGACCTGCGTCGGAATGCTGGGACTATGGACCATCACAAATCTATTTTCAATCCCAGGAACCTGATCATCTGTGTCACCACATGCACCATAGCCATTGTCTGGGCAGTCATACTAGTGACAGTCTACTTCTACTTTGTGAGTAGCCTACGCCTACGTATTGTGTATTTAAACAATCGGTAGAACAGCCATGTAAAACTGAATAACACAGAAAAATAAATTATGATATAAATAACATAATGTAAATGTTTGAGATTTTATTCGTGTGTGGCAATAATGCTTGTTCTTTTCTTGGGACTTCAATATAAGCCAACAATACCATCGATTTCTGAACTAAAAAGACATTTTTTAAGTTCTAGCTGTTTTTGTACCGGTACCATAGACAAAAAGAATTAAATATAGACTGCCAGCCGTGCTGCGGTTACCATGGTTACCGGTACCATAGGTTCTGGCGCACACCGCTAGGAGTGCCATGTAGTTACATAGCGTGTACGCCGTAACTACATGGTGCTCCCATCGGTGTGCGCCAAAACATATGGTAACCGCAGCACAGCTGACGGTCTATATTTAATTCTTTTTGTATATGTCGGTACTTACTTTTAGCTTTTATGTAGCTCACAAACCCTTATTTCAAATCTTTTATAACTACTTGTACAACACAATGCTTGAAGCATTATTTTTTGTATTCTTAAGATAATTTCATTACACAGTTATGAAGGACCTTCTACCAAATCCTCAACGATTATGAGGCATCATCAAGTAATGTAAACAACATTGAGAAGCAGTGTAATGAGTAACTAACGACATTTACCTACAGTTTGGAGGACCATACACAACTGTCATTCACAATGTGACCGAGGTAGAAAGGGTGCAGATGGTACGCCAGGAGTTACTGCCCTGGTATCTCGGTGGTCCAGTGTTGCCTACAACTTGCCAAGATGACGACATTGTGCCTCTGTTTGGTATCACTCCACCCCTCACACAGCTTGACAGACTAAGGAGCCAGCTCATGTTTCTACCTCAGGGGGTAAGGCACCAAGTCCTGTTACAATTGTTATCAAAATACAGGGTGACAGTTCTGGAACCTTTTTTTCATTTTAAAACTACAATAGAAAAATACCAAGGTTCTGGTAATAGTAACGCACACATCTGCCCAATTACCAACCGGATAACTGGGAACGTTCCACAAGGATGAGTCGGACAAAATTCTTAAATAGCAGCATAGGTCGAGTTTGGTATAAAATAAAAGGTCTCCGTTAGTAAAATACAATGCTACAAATCCGTACTCAAACGGACAACCAAGTCAAAAATGGCAGCCGTTCCAAATATTTCTTTAATCTGCCAATTTTGTCTGACTCCTTGTAGACCATCCCCCAAAGGGGTTATCTGGTTGGTAATTGGGCAGATGTATGCGTTACTATCACCAGTAAGCAAGTGTGAACTTCGGCATTTTTTTCTATTGTGGCTAAAAAATTTAAAAAGAGGTCCCAGACCTTATTTGTCACTCTGTATAATCCGTGTGTTTATACAGGGATCAAATATTTAATAATATGTTCTGGCGTCCACTGCTAGGTGTGCCTTGTAGTTACGGTATACACCACTGCAGCGCAAGTGTGGTAGGCTAGTGCGGGTAGCAGACGGCGAGTAGCATTAATACATTTTTGACAATAATGGAACTTTCAACCCCATAAAATCTGTACAGTAGAGTCCCGCAAACTCGGCGTAATGTGGACTGGAAGGGTGCAGAGTTTGTGAAATGCCGGGTTATCGTGAACTAGGGTTAAAAATAAGAACAATACAATTTTTATTCCTTTTAGCTGCCTTATTTATTTATTTTAATATTACAAGTCAGTATTAAGTCATTAGATATATAGTACAACAAATCCTTGGTACGAGTTGCGAATGATTTGACTTGAGCCCATGTTTAACTCGGACTCAAAAAATCACTAATTTTCTGAGCCAGGTGATGGCCGAGTTATCCAGACTGCCGAGTTTTCGAGTGCCGAGTTTGCAGGACTCTACTGTATAACATTGTAATTCGTAATGTAAACAAAAACTGCGCTAATAAGTTTGATTAAAGGGTGGTTTAGATTGTCTATGCCTTTTAACAGCAACACAATACCAGAATAGACACATTTTTTTAGGTTTGCCCAAACAAAAATCCTAGCTATGAAAAATGTTGAGTGTTGTGACCTTGTACATGCTCTTACTATATTCTGATATTGGTTTTCATAGAACAGTGAGATGAAGATTGTCCTCTTCTGGTCAGATTGGTTACCTGCAGAAACTGATGAATATAAGGTAATTACGATTGATAGTTTCAGTATCTAACATGTCTCTATATCTATCCTTTCCTTAAATTCTTTGTCTTACAAATAATTTAATTTAATATATCAACAGTTATGCAATATCTTGCAGTCCTTTATCTTTATTTTTTAGCTAGCAGAGTACCCGAGTGTCGTTTGTACGGGGTTGGCATATAAGTATAAAATGCTTATTGCAGTTATACTTTGCGTTTGCAATGGGAGAGGACACGGTTTAAGAAAATTTGGTTCTTTTAATTTAGGGTATGCTATAATAGCACATCTACCATAGCCATTATGTTCTACCACTGCAAAAAAAGAAATGTCTCATTCTCATTGTATACCGTACCACCGTATCACAGCTTTTTGTTGCTAGTTGGTTCAAATTAGCTGTTGTCATAAATGCAAAAAAATTATAGTGCTGCACCCTGTTGGTAAACCTTATAACTGTTTAATGCTATTTAATATCATAGATCCAACTTGTGTAGTTGAAACAACTGACAAAATTTTTAATTCCTTTTAAATATGGATACTCATAAGGTTAACATGGGAAACTCCAGAGACAATGGGGCGGAGCCCAAAAGAATTTTTGAGATAAGAGAATGTCTATATATGTTAATCGGAAATGTGAGCTATCACCATGCCAATTTTCAGCCCAATCCGACTAGTAGCATTGACTTTATAAAAGCCAATGCTAAGTTAATGTTTGATTGAACTTCAAACAAACAAACAAACAAACAAACAAGCAAATAAACAAACACACAAACTTTTACATTTATAATATTAGTAAGATAAGAAAAGAAAAGATAAGATGATTAGGCAGTTAGTTAAACAGCAGTATTTAAACCAAAACACCCAATGGGTCTTAAAAATTTTATTTAAGATTAAATTATGGTCTATTATGTCAACCTAGCATTAATAGATTGGTGAAAATCTAAATCCAACAAAAATTTAGAGGAGAACTGAAGTTTGGCATTTACCTCTCACAATATTCAGGCCTGTTTTTGACCCTGCCAGCGCCCTAGACACAACAAACTAAACTAATAGTAGCGCCCCTTTGCAATATATATAACAAGAGGGTGTCCTACGACCGGGAAATCCAGGACGTGTGCGTGAGTTTTTTTTAACCAGGAATTAGGCGTGAATTTTGTATTTCTACCTGGAATTTTCAATTTACCGTGATCGCGAATGGCGACAGTAACGTTTCTGTGACCGCGGGAGACGATAATATGTCTACATAATACTTCTTTTTTGGATGATCAGAATTTTCCGCGATCGCAGAAGACGATAATGATATCTACAGAGCCGCGAGGTATGATCAGAATATAGCCGCGATCAGGGAAGACGATGATAATAACCGGGAGAAGAGATCAGAATTTTGCCTCATTCGCGGAAGACAATGATCTTCAAATGACCGCGAGAGACGATTACGATGTCTACACGGCCGCGAGGGGTTATCAGAAGTTTACCGTGGTAGCTTGCAATTACAACCTCCAAATTATTTGATTTCAATTTTTTTGGCGCCCCCAAAAAAACCAATTGCCTTGCGCCCTAGGCTTGTGCCTATTCGGTAAATCGGCCCTGACAATATTTAAGATTGGCCAGCAAAGGTGATCTCCAAGGTTTAATCCTACCTATGTTTTTCTTTAACTTTGGTTTCTGTGCGGCACCAATGGAAGATTCCATTACTCCACTAACAATCCAAACTAAATTAGATATAGCCTTATAGCCATTGGCTTTTTTAGGGGGCGCAAAAAAATTGGAAAATTAAATAAAATTGTGGCTGTATATGCATGCGATCGCAGTAAACTGATAATCCCTCGCGGCCGTGTAGACATCGTAACCGTCTCCCGCAATTACGGCAAGATGTTAATTATTTCCTGCGGTTCTATTCTGCCTATTTTCGGCAGACGTGTGGACATAATTATCTTCTTCCTTGATCGCGGCAATATATGAACACATCTCGCGGTCGTGAGGAGATTATCACCGTGTATCGGGAATGAGGCAAAATTCTAATCCTTTCCCAGGGTTTTTGTGGACATTATCATCGTCTTGTGTGATCACGGTAAGATTCTGATAACCCCTCAAAGCTATGAAGACATCATCAACTCCCTCGGTCGTGTGGCATTGTAATCCTCTCCCACCGTTGCAGCAAATGGTAATCATCTCCCGCGGTCGTTTGGAGATCATCATCATCTTTCGCGAATGAGGCAAATTCTGATCTTTCCCATGGTCGAGTGGACATTATCATCGTTTTACGATGATAAAATTCTGATCATCCCTTGCAGCCGTGTAATTATTGAAACTCTGGCGATCCTGTAGACATCGTAATAGTCTTCCATGGTCGTGTAGACATTATAATTGTCTCCCTCAGTCGTGAATACATCGTAATCGTGTCCCTCGGTCGTGAAGACATCATAATAGTCTCTCATGGTGGTGTAGACATCATAATCGTCTCCCTCGGTCGTAAATACATAGTAATCGTCTCCCTAGGTTGTGAAGTCATCGTAATCGTCTCCCGCTGTTGTGAAGACATCGCAATCGTCTCCCACTGTCGGAAAGACATCGTAATCGTCTCCCGCTGTCGTGAAGACATCGCAATCGTCTCCCGAGGTTGTGAAGACATCTTAATCGTCTACCGCGATTACGGCAAAATAAAATATCCCACAGTAATGTGGAGATCATTATCGTCTCCGGAAAAATTCTGACTGTTTCCCGCGGTTGTGTGGACATTATCATCGTCTTCTGTGATAGCGGCAATATTCTGATCATCCTTTGCGGCTCTGTAGATCTCATTATCGTATTGCGCAATCGCAGTAAAATCATGATCATATCCCGCAGTCGTTTAAACAGTATCATTGTCTCATGCGATCGTGGAGACATATTATCGTCTCCCGTGGTCACGAAAACGTCACTGTCGTTATGCGCCATCGCGGTAAATTGACAATTCCAGGTAGAAATACAAAATTCAGGTATAATCCCCGGTTCAAAAAATTCACACATAATTCCCGGATTTCCCGGTTGGTGGTCACCCTGTTATATATATTGCAAAGGGGCGCTACTATTGTTGGGCCTAGGGCGCTGACATAGTCAAAAACGGGCCTGGATATAGCTTATCACAATTAATAAAACTCATTTATATTAAGATCAAGGCTGGTTAAACTGATTACATTTCTACATTGTTTTAATATAGAAAACCAGGTGAAACCCGTCAAAATCAATAGTTGCTTTAAAGGCTTACGACAATTCTTCAAACTGCGACAAAAAGAGTGAAATTTTAAAAAAATTTGAGCATTTAGCATTGTTTAATGAGCATTGTTAAATAGGTGTAGAAACAATAATGACTATTGTGTTTCAAAATATGGTTGATCATTCAATGAATAACATATTTCTTATACCGTCCATGATAGGAGTTATTGTTCCTATGTTAACTGGTTTATCTTCTTTTTGATGAATATAATATAAAGAATGCTTTTGGAAGAATCTTTAAATAGTATTAAAATCGTATTGGTGGGTCTTTTGTGGTACACACTTCTGCGATTCCATCAGTGTTATGGAGAATAAATCTGTGCTTTTTTTTTTTTTTTTAAATATCTGTTTGTTGAGAAGAAACGTTCTTACTTCAAAGGGAGGCCCACCTTAAAGCTGTGTAAGTTTTATTTTACCTTCGTCACGTTGGACATCATACCGTACTTCTGTGCCAATGAATAATAACCCTCTAAATTTAGCAATATTTTTTTAGCATAACTTTGATTCCATGACATGCGGATGTGCAGTTGTCTCAGCCTTATCAATTACATAAGTGTTCAATATAACTTTGGAATGTGTGTTGTTTTATTTTGTTTTGTATTACACAATCGAAATCTTTTCCAATAATTGAAAACATGTTTAAGTAAATAATCTCATGAGCCTATGAATCCTATGATGATCTGTTTTGAATAATATGACAAAATATTGGCACTAAGAGTTACTGTAATATTAAGACTATCCAATGATTTTGTATTTGAATGTTATATTGCAAAACATGAGATGGTGCAAAACAAAATAAATTTTAAAATCTGAAAATTACATTGCAAATACTTCTTTTTGACAAACTCAGTACCTAACTCCCTATAATAATGTGTTGTTTAAAATACAATAATTTAAATATTAACAGCTGTTTCATTAAAAAGTAGTGAAAAATTATCCATATGACGATAATGTAAACAAATCTGGGAAAGGAACTTTAAGGCTTCTGGGGCATAACCCTAAGGGGATATACTTCGTATTTCTTTTGATAGCTCATCTTACAGACCAAGACCTTTCTTTGGACACCTCTACCAAGTTTCTACACCCAGTCGTTCTCTCAAATTAGTGCAGACAAAGTTTCCAATTAAATATTTAGATTCCCCCATGTTATGAGAGAAAACCCAACTTTGATGGAAGATCCTGCCCAAACTAATAAAGATTTCAAAAAATTAAAAAACACTTTGCAAAACTACAGATCAGGGCCATTTTTTTACACTTTAATCATCAAAATCGGTCCAAAAATAAGGGAGGAATTTTGTTCACAAAAATTGGCTTAAGTGTATTATATATATACTAGAGTACCCGTCCTTCGTACGGGGTTGGAATATAAGTATAAAATGCTTATTGCAGTTATACTCAAGCTTTGCGTTTGCAATAAGAGAGGACACAGTTTGATAAAATTTGCTTTTTTAAATTTACAGTATACATAGTAACTTTTTAATGCTTTTCCATATCATAGAACTTTTTTAGTTGAAACAGCTGATAGTCCAGTCAATGAATGATCCGAAAGTAGGTGTAGAGTGCGTGAGCAGGTAACTAAGCGATTCCTTCAGAAACTTGTTCAGGGGGCTTAGGGTGTTAACATACCAAAAGTCCTGACTCCTAGGTGGTGAGCCAGGGGGTGGAGGGGGGAAAAAGGGGGGGAAAAAGGTACGCATTTTGGGTTTTTTTATTATATCTCAAAAACTATCAACTTTTTGTATATTATAGTAAATTATAAAATTGAAGAAGATTAAATTTTCTACAAGAAAAGTATATAATGTGTTTATTTTGGTTCAACAGATTACGAGTTATAACTTATTTAATTGATATCTTATTAAAATACTCCTTCCATAAGAAATACATGTAAATTAGTATGTGAAATGGGGCGAATCCTATCCGCCCAAAGGAAATATAACTGATATTCTGGAAATCTTGACAAAATTTCCAGTAATTTGACACTTTAATCATGAAATTTTGTCAAAAATTAAAGCGAGGGTGAGCGTTTAAAAATTGGATGATTTAAGGTTTTTTTTATATTTCCAATAAAAAAACACCAAAACTCGACATTTTGTTACCTCGCCCTCGCCTTAATTTTGGATCAATTTTAATGATTAAAGTGTCAAATTACTGGAAATTTTGTCAAGATTTCCAGAATATCAGTTATATTTCCTTTGGGCGGATAGGATTCGCCCCATTTCGCATACTAATTTACATGTATTTCTTATGGAAGGAGTATTTTAATAAGATATCAATTAAATAAGTTATACAGTAACTCGTAATCTGTTGAACCAAAATAAACACATTATATACTTTTCTTGTAGAAAATTTAATCTTCTTCAATTTTATAATTTACTATAGTATACAAAAAGTTGATAGTTTTCGAGATATAATCAAAAAACCCAAAATGCGTACCTTTCCCCCCCCCCTTTTTCCCCCCTCCACCCCGTGGCTCACCACCTAGGAGTCAGGACTTTTGGTATGTTAACACCCTAAGCCCCCTGAACAAGTTTCTGAAGGAATCGCTTAGTTACCTGCTCACGCACACTACACCTCATTCCTTGACTGGACTATGACTAAATTCTTTAATTTCCTTTAAATATGAATACTCATAAGGTTAACATGGGGAATTACAGAGCCACTGGGGCGGAGCCCGAAAGGATTTTTGAGATAAGAATATGCCTATATGTAAATCGGGAATGTAAGCTATCATCATGCTAAATTTCAGCCCTATTCGTCCAGTGGTTTATGCGTGATTGAACTTCAAACACTCAAACAAACAAACAAACACACAAACTTTCACATTTATAATATTAGTAAGATAGATAGATATATATAGATTATAGTCTATGATTTATATTGATAAAGGTAAATTATTATTTTTTAGATACTACAGTGCCCAATCAAATCATGTGTGTTCACAAACTCCAGAAAATTGTATGAAAAAGCCAGTGCAGTTGTCTTTAGAAATCCTTCAAAGCTACTAAAGGATTTTCCTGAAGAATATAGACCACGATCACAGGTATTTCACAATATATTACACCATAGACAAAAAGAATTAAATATAGACCGACAACAGTGCTGCGGTTAGCATATGTTCTGGTGTCCACTGCTAGGTGTGCCTTGAAGTTACGGTACAAACCTCTGCAGCACAAGTGTGGTAGTGCTGGTAGCAGACGGGAGGAGTCGACGACGGCAGCAAATCGAACACCGTTAGCTTAGTCTATATTTATTCTATTTGTCTATGGTTACTGGTATACATTGTAGACATCAGCAAATAAGATCGTTATAACTATAAATACCCCCGCCGCAGCAAACCTGCCGCCAAGCAAATTTCCAGTTGCCTGAATTGATTTTCAGTTAAATGTATTTAATTAACATTTAGGTTTTATGACTACATAGGCTTGCTGCTGCAGGGAGGGTAAAAAAGTGTGTTTTTTGTAAAATATTAATAACTTAGTATAAAATAAATAAATTTACCAAGTTTGATCAAAATATACCTATAAACAAGCAAAACTACAACATTTTACCTTTTTCTCCATAAGAGTAACATGGGAATTTAAAAAAAAAAACAATTTTTTGAATTTTATCCGTAACCAATATTTGTACAAAACACTTTGATACACAATTTTTTTTAAGCTCTTTAAAAATGTCTGGAGAGAAATTGGAAAATTTTGCGTTTAGATGGTTAAAAATTAGAAAAACCAATTTTTACCCCATAAAACCCCGTTCTCATGGTCCGATCATGCTGGTTTGCGAACTCATTCCAGTTTATACAACTTCAAACCAAATTTCTTAAAAATCAGATAAAAATTACTTAAGTTATCGTGTTCACAAACAAATGGAGAAACGAATCCGGGGTTTTTGGCCTCTGAGGACATCAAAATGAAAAAGTAAATCCGTCCTGGGCCTAGGTCTTACCGTGAGGCCTACGGTAATAGCTACTTCCCTATAGGGAAATTCGCTAAAACGTTAAAACTATAAACTTAAAATTTAAATCTCAAACATACTTGCATTAAACTTATTGCATACATAAGTTTGGTTAGTTTGGTTAGGTTATGACAGTTTAATTATATTTAATTTAAATTTAACCTACAAATTATACCTTTTGACAGCGACAGTGATAGAGATAACAATTTTCCGCGAACAGTTAGATAGGCTATGCTGATGAGCCGGTATGATTCGGAAGCGTACGACATGGTGCGGTGGTGCCACAGCGCTGCACAGCGCCTCTGATCCACGATCCTCGGAGTTGCACTGGCAGTCTAGACGCTAGTATTGCATACTGTAGTTATATCACCTAGGATACAAGTACTAGTTGATGTATAGTTTTAAACATGTGTTCATTAATTGATTGTTTATGTTTACCAATTTTGTAAATAGAATGGATTGAATAAAATAATGTACCTATCTTTTGATTGAATCTAATTATTATACAATAAATGGCGACGAGGATGACGGAAATAGGAAATATAAAGAAGTTGAGATCAGTTGCAAAAAGGCAAATTTCCAAAGCATTTAAACTAATTATAGAAAATAAAGCAACTGATAAAATGACAAGTGCAGAGATAGAGGTGAGGTTAGACAGTTTAAGATCGTATTGGAAACAATTTGAAGATGCACAAACCAAAATTGAACTAGCCACTGAAGATGAAGAACAAGATGATCTAGCCTCGTACAGAAGTGAGACAGAAGAAATGTACATTGTTTTAGAAGCAGTATTGAGAAATGAAAAGACACGACACAATAATACAGAGCCTACAGCAGCAAATCCACATAACAAGGAACCAAGCACAACATCAAACATTAGTTTTGTTCCATACGACGAAGAAGAATCTTTTAGGAATTTCATTAAAAGATTTGAAAATTTTCTGGTACTTAAAGATGTAAATGAAGAGAAAACAAAGCTTTGTAGTTTACTACATGCACTTTCACCTAAACTACATGAACGGCTTCTAGACATAGTTGCCCCTGATGACCCTTACAAGATGAACTATGAAAATGTTGTTACTGTTTTAAAAGACCATTTGGAACCATTACCAAGTGTATTAACATTACAACATCGCTTTGTGTGTAGAGTACAACAACCGAATGAGTCAATCATCGAATTCGCTATGGAATTGAAGAAACTGTCTAAAGATTGTCAGTTTAACTGTGATTGTGGAAAGTCAGTAACTGATATGTTATTACGCATGCAATTGGTAAGAGGACTTCACGACCATGATATTAAAGGACAACTTTTACAGAAGAAAATTGTAACTACTTTTAAGGAAGCACTTGAACTTGCAACATCACTGGAAGCTTCGAGAACTGAAAGCAGCATGATGACTGCTCACACAGCACCACCAGCAGTTCCAGTGCTCAAGGTTGTAGAGAATCAGACAAGAAAATGGGACAGATACTCTGGGAATAAGAACGCTGTACAGGCAACAAACAAAGACCAATATTCTCCTTCCCGTTCAAAGTTTTCAGGTCTACAAGGACGGTGTTATCGGTGTGGAGATAAAGACCATAGAGCAAATACATGTAAGTTTAGAAATGAATTTTGCAATTTATGTAACAAAGTAGGGCATATTGCAAAGGTATGTATGGGAGGACCAAGAAAACAACGAATTGACCAACTAGAGGACAGAGAGATTGAAAAACAGTTAGATCATACTACCTACGATTCTTATAAACTTCAAGTAAATAACAGTGATAAGTTCATTATGAAAATAGAAATTGAAGGAAAACCATTATCTATGGAACTTGATACAGGAGCAGCGCTATCTTCAATCTCATTTGAGGACTATAAGAGATTAGATGTCAATAAAAGAATGTTCAAATCACATGTACAGCTTCGCACATATACAGGTGAAATCATACAAACTAAGGGTGTAGTATATGTTAGGTTTCAGTACAAAGAAAAGATTTACTTCGGAAAACTATTTATTATCGACCAAGATGTTGAACCAATATTTGGTAGAGACTGGATAAGAGAAGTCAATTTAGAAATTGGTGATATTAGAATGTTGAATCAAAACTCATCTGAGTTGACACAAGTTCTTGACAGTTATTCAGATATATTCAGTAAGGAAATTGGTTGCATTCCAAATGAAAAAGGACACCTGAATCTAAAAGAAGACTGTGGTCCAATATTTGTGAAGCCGAGGCAAGTGCCCTATGCTATTAAACAAAAGGTGGAAGAAGAACTCGATCGACTGGAAAAAGCTGGTATTATTACAAAGATTGCAAACTCAGAATGGGGTACGCCAATTGTGCCAGTAGTAAAACCTAATGGTTCGGTACGAATATGTGCAGATTACAAGACTACGTTGAATAAAGTTATCCGTGATGAGAAGTATCCAATACAAAGAATTGAGGACATCTTTGCAGAGATGAATGGAGGAAAATTTTTCTGCACACTCGATGTTAGTAATGCTTACTTACACATGCCAATGGACTCTGAAAGTGCTCTGCTACAAACAATAAGCACTCAGAAAGGTTTGTATAAAGTAAACAGGTTGATGTTTGGAGTGAAAGTAGCACCAGCACTGTGGCAAAGATTCATGGATAAGGTACTGCAAGGGACTGATGGAGTTAAGTGCTTTTTCGATGATATAATCATTCAAGGTACAGATTACAAGAGTACACTAGAGAGATTAAAAACTGTCCTAGAAAAACTTAGAGCGCATAACTTGAAATTAAATTTTGACAAATGTAAATTCTTTCAACAAAGAATAACATACTTGGGACATACAATTGATGAAAACGGGCTGAAGAAAAACTCAGAAAAGGTCAAAGCAATTATCGAGGCAGAAAAACCTAGAAATGTGAATCGACTACGATCTTTCATTGGCATGGCCAATTACTACAACAAATTCATACCAAGACTGGCCGAAAAGCTATATCCATTGAATAAGTTACTACAGAAAGGACAGCGATTTGAATGGTCACAAGAATGTGAAAACAGCTTTATCAATGTTAAAAAGCACATAGCCAATGACAACACTCTAGCACACTACAATCCAAAACTTCCTCTAATACTCTCAACTGACGCATCTCCTTATGGATTGGGAGCAGTAATTTCCCATAAGTTTCCTGATGGGTCGGAACAACCCATAGCTTTTGCTTCCCGATCTTTATCAAAAAGTGAAAAACAGTACAGTCAAATAGACAAAGAAGCTACAGCAATTTACTGGGGGGTAAAGAAATTCTTTGCTTATTGCTATGGACGAAAGTTTGTTCTTCAGACGGACCACAAACCTCTTGTTTCCATATTCCATCCATCAAAATGCTTACCGGCAATGTCAGCTACTCGTTTATTGAACTACTCACTTTTCCTTGCTGGGTTTGATTATACAATTGAGTATAGAAGAACTTCAGACCACTGTAACGCAGATTTCTTGTCTCGTTTTCCAGTTGAACAAACTCAAGATGATGAAGACTTGTATTCCAAATTCCAAATGAATCAAATAGCAATTCTTCCTCTCACACAATGTACACTTGCAGAGCATACAAAGAAAGACCCTGTACTAGCTACAATAGTTACAGCACTAGAAAATGGAGAAAATCTGGAAAAGGTTGGTTTCCGAAATAATGATTTAAGTTTACATAAAGGTTGCATCTTTAGAGGTAGTCGAGTTGTAATACCTAACACATTGCAGAAAGAAGTTCTCAAGGAACTACACATTGGGCATTTAGGCATGTCGAAAATGAAGGCCATGGCGCGAAGTTATGTATATTGGAAAAACTTGGATAATGATATTGAAAACTTGGTTAATAACTGTGACAAATGCAAACAGAAAAGAAATGAACCCTCTAAATTAAACCATCACCCTTGGGAAGAACCTACAGCTCCCTGGCATCGCTTACATTTGGATTTTTGTGGACCCGTAAATGGAAATTATTTCTTCATAATTATTGACGCCCATACAAAATGGTTGGAGGTTATACATACAAAAAACACTTCTTCAGACTGGTGCATTCGAAATTTAAGTCACTTATTTTCAACTTTTGGACTGCCAGTTATGATAGTAACAGACAACGGCTCCCAATTTACGAGTGCACTTTTTCAAAGGTTTCTAAGCAATAATGGAATTTGCCATAGGACTTGTGCACCTTTTCACCCATCAAGCAATGGCCAAGCTGAACGATTTGTCCAAACTGTTAAGAAATCACTGGCTGCCATGAGTGAAGACAAGGGAGACTTGCAGCATAAAATAGATCTTCTCGTAACTCAGTTACGCAAAGCTCCAAACTCTACAGGACTCTCCGCTTATGTGTTAATGTTTGGCAGAGACATAAGAACGAAACTTAACGTGATGGCAGATAAAGTTGAATGGAATAAAAAGACTATGTCGGAACACAAGCTGAAAAGAAATTTTCAGGTGGGACAGAGAGTACTGGTAAGAAATTATTCCTCAAAAGTAAAGTGGAAGGAAGGGAAAATAATTTCAAGAACAGGAAATGTTATGTTTAAAGTCAAGACAGACACTGGACTCACTTGGACTCGTCACTCAGACCAAATACTTCCCTTACACTAAGGGGGGAGAGTTGATGTATAGTTTTAAACATGTGTTCATTAATTGATTGTTTATGTTTACCAATTTTGTAAATAGAATGGATTGAATAAAATAATGTACCTATCTTTTGATTGAATCTAATTATTATACAATACTAGTACTGTACTGGTTAAAAAGATACTATTACAACACATTGTGACAGAGTTAAAGTCATATATAACTAAGCGAGTAAGAGATGAGTATGATTTGGGTGTATGACGTAAGTAGTTTTGTTGTCCCTAAACTGAACCAAACTAGGATGTGTCCTTTGCAAGAATCATTAATTCAAATATCAATATTACAACTGAGTTCTTCAAAAAATAGATTAACATTTGGGTAAGCATTACAACTTTTAGCATTGACTAACCAACACAAGTAGACTTCTCTTCCCATTGTAAATTTTGAAGCTCGTTTTTCGTCTCTAGTTCATGTCCGGTGCCACTGTTTATGTTAGTATCAACAAAATTTTGTTTCTAATAATTGATGTTTAATTTAATGATTTGTGCTTTACTTTTTGGTTATATAACTAGGGGACGAGTTATTGATTATGATTAGATCGTTTATTTTGTTTAACGACATTTTAAATGACTAAAATACATAAAATAAATTGTAAACAAAACAAAACCTCTACTGCTCTACAGTGCACCGGAAAGAACTAACAATGAATAAATTTGCTCCAGCTTTTCTGTAAAGATGAGATATCTACCAAGCGAGTGTTTTATCTATGCTTTCAGCTACCCAGTCATCACCCTGTACCTGATGCTACTTATAGTAAGATGTGTAGCTGAGTGAGTGTTTTATCTATGCTTTCAGCTACCCAGTCATCACCCTGTACCTGATGCTACTTATAGTAAGATGTGTAGCTGAGTGAGTGTTTTATCTATGCTTTCAGCTACCCAGTCATCACCCTGTACCTGATGCTACTTATAGTAAGATGTGTAGCTGAGTGAGTGTTTTATCTATGCTTTCAGCTACCCAGTCATCACCCTGTACCTGATGCTACTTATAGTAAGATGTGTAGCTGAGTGAGTGTTTTATCTATGCTTTCAGCTACCCAGTCATCACCCTGTACCTGATGCTACTTATAGTAAGATGTGTAGCTGAGTGAGTGTTTTATCTATGCTTTCAGCTACCCAGTCATCACCCTGTACCTGATGCTACTTATAGTAAGATGTGTAGCTGAATGAGTGTTTTATCTATGCTTTCAGCTACCCAGTCATCACCCTGTACCTGATGCTACTTATAGTAAGATGTGTAGCTGAGTGAGTGTTTTATCTATGCTTTCAGCTACCCAGTCATCACCCTGTACCTGATGCTACTTATAGTAAGATGTGTAGCTGAGTGAGTGTTTTATCTATGCTTTCAGCTACCCAGTCATCACCCTGTACCTGATACTACTTATAGTAAGATGTGTAGCTGAGTGAGTGTTTTATCTATGCTTTCAGCTACCCAGTCATCACCCTGTACCTGATGCTACTTATAGTAAGATGTGTAGCTGAGTGAGTGTTTTATCTATGCTTTCAGCTACCCAGTCATCACCCTGTACCTGATGCTACTTATAGTAAGATGTGTAGCTGAGTGAGTGTTTTATCTATGCTTTCAGCTACCCAGTCATCACCCTGTACCTGATGCTACTTATAGTAAGATGTGTAGCTGAGTGAGTGTTTTATCTATGCTTTCAGCTACCCAGTCATCACCCTGTACCTGATGCTACTTATAGTAAGATGTGTAGCTGAGTGAGTGTTTTATCTATGCTTTCAGCTACCCAGTCATCACCCTGTACCTGATACTACTTATAGTAAGATGTGTAGCTGAGTGAGTGTTTTATCTATGCTTTCAGCTACCCAGTCATCACCCTGTACCTGATGCTACTTATAGTAAGATGTGTAGCTGAGTGAGTGTTTTATCTATGCTTTCAGCTACCCAGTCATCACCCTGTACCTGATGCTACTTATAGTAAGATGTGTAGCTGAGTGAGTGTTTTATCTATGCTTTCAGCTACCCAGTCATCACCCTGTACCTGATGCTACTTATAGTAAGATGTGTAGCTGAGTGAGTGTTTTATCTATGCTTTCAGCTACCCAGTCATCACCCTGTACCTGATGCTACTTATAGTAAGATGTGTAGCTGAGTGAGTGTTTTATCTATGCTTTCAGCTACCCAGTCATCACCCTGTACCTGATGCTACTTATAGTAAGATGTGTAGCTGAGTGAGTGTTTTATCTATGCTTTCAGCTACCCAGTCATCACCCTGTACCCGATGCTACTTATAGTAAGATGTGTAGCTGAGTGAGTGTTTTATCTATGCTTTCAGCTACCCAGTCATCACCCTGTACCTGATGCTACTTATAGTAAGATGTGTAGCTGAGTGAGTGTTTTATCTATGCTTTCAGCTACCCAGTCATCACCCTGTACCTGATGCTACTTATAGTAAGATGTGTAGCTGAGTGAGTGTTTTATCTATGCTTTCAGCTACCCAGTCATCACCCTGTACCTGATGCTACTTATAGTAAGATGTGTAGCTGAGTGAGTGTTTTATCTATGCTTTCAGCTACCCAGTCATCACCCTGTACCTGATGCTACTTATAGTAAGATGTGTAGCTGAGTGAGTGTTTTATCTATGCTTTCAGCTACCCAGTCATCACCCTGTACCTGATACTACTTATAGTAAGATGTGTAGCTGAGTGAGTGTTTTATCTATGCTTTCAGCTACCCAGTCATCACCCTGTACCTGATACTACTTATAGTAAGATGTGTAGCTGAGTGAGTGTTTTATCTATGCTTTCAGCTACCCAGTCATCACCCTGTACCTGATACTACTTATAGTAAGATGTGTAGCTGAGTGAGTGTTTTATCTATGCTTTCAGCTACCCAGTCATCACCCTGTACCTGATGCTACTTATAGTAAGATGTGTAGCTGAGTGAGTGTTTTATCTATGCTTTCAGCTACCCAGTCATCACCATGTACCTGATACTACTTAGTAAGATGTGTAGCTGAGTGGTTATAGTGCTTGCCTAACAATCCAAACGTCACCGATTCGATCCTGAGAACAGTCTAGTCAGTAGCTTTTTGATATTTCAAAACTGGACCCAGCTGTTCCTGATCATTGGGCTTTAAATAAATGATCCTGGCTAATGAAACAGCTGCTCTTACAGTCATTAAAAAAGCAGCACAAATAATAATCTCACACCTTTTAAAAACACTCATATTTGGGTTAAAATACGCACCTAGCGTATGTTTATAGTGGCGTCCCTATCCCAATATTGATAACAAACCTTATATAGGCATAAACTACAAATGTCTTGTTCACAGGCAAAAATTATAAATAGCCTATATACCATGTGTTTCTGCATTATTGAGTGTGGATGATGTAAAGTGTGTGATTTTCATATTCATGTTCAGGTGTGGGTGTTCAATAGTCTGTCAGCTCCCCAGTATGAGTTTGCTCACCCCAGAGATGTGTTCAACTGGACAGCCACCCCCAGATTAGATTCTACTGTCCCTATGTTTCCTCATGGGGTGTGGATGTATTACAACCCAGTTTGGAGACATCAAGATCCTTCTGTGTGAGTAACTTATACAAATCCCTAATAAGACTGAACTTCTGTCAAAAAACAATGCTACTATAGCATAGGGTTGTCTGTAACTTGAGGTCTCTTGTTAGCTATGATATGTAAAGCAAGCTGGGACCAGTGCCATACTCTTGACTTCTTCCACTACTACGGTATTTAAGCAAATTACCACCCCTATATAAGTCTCATTAATGTAGCAAAAAACGGGTTGAAGGAACCTGAAGTGGGGCGATTCACAATACATTTTGCTGCTGTGACGTATTGCTGATGTGATTGTATTCTACACAGTTTTTGTCACATACAATGGGAACTGATCTCGCTCTTGCTATATTTCTGCTTACCTGATGGAAGTATGCCTGTATTTAAAATTCTCAATGCAAAAATGTATCAAAATTCCCAATACAAAAATGTATCAAAATTCCCATTACACTAGTTGTTGCGTATTAAAAAGGCTTTTTTTTACAATAATAAAAGTGGACTGTATATAATATGGGTTATTAATTTAATTTTGACAACAGAAAATAATTATGGACTTTTGGTTTAACTTTTAACACTGAACTATAGTTATGTTACCACTTTGACGTTATTAAGGTCTTGAAAGAAGATCTGGTCGAATGTTGTCTAGTCAAGAAGATATGTTTGATGAATGTCCAAATGTTCACAGTACACAGAATTTAGAGTCAAATTAAAAAGGGTTTATTAAATGCACACAAAAGGAAAAGGTAATTGAAAACAAGTAAAAATAAAAGGAGAGAGAAATGAACGATGTTACACAAAGAAACGATATTAGGAGAGAGAAAATTGCACTTTTTGAACCAGAATGTTTACATTTTCAAATTTGTATTATTGAGCGAAGCGAGCGAAGCTCTTATACGTCGACTTTTATGCATTTCGTAATACGCAAACTCCTCCTAGACGGCTGAATCAATCGTTTTCAAATTTTGGATGGTGATAAAGACCATATCGGTGAGTGCCAACATCTATATGGCGTTAAAAATAACTCTCAGGAATCCGCCCCACTGGGTCTCAAAGTTTCAATGTAATCCTTATAGAAGCAGCATTTGACACATAAACAAAGACATATGATCAGCTGTTGACTTTTGAATGCAGTAGATAAAGAAATAGCTGATAGCATTATTCCACAGATATTAGAACAGAAACGGTATGAATCATAAATATAATCAAATGACGACACTAGCTTGAGGTCCGTGACGTAGGAAGTGCTAAAGGAAGTACTAAAGGTGAGCAGTCTGGAGTGTGGAAACTGTTTATGACGATTAGATTTAGGTATCTGCATTCCAAAAATTATAAGGGAAGGGAGGAAAACGGGTCCGCGACGTAGGAAGTGAGGAAGGAAGTAGTCAAGGCGAGCTGTCCGGAGTGTGGGATCTGCTTATGACCATTATATTAAGGTATTTGCAATCCTATGATGCTATGGGAAGGGAGGAAAACAGGTCCGTGACGTAGGAAGTGGTGAAGGAAGTAGTAAAGGCGAGCAGTCCGGAGTGTGGGAACTGTTTATGACGATTAGATTAAGGTATCTGCAATCATAAAATGCTATGGGAAGGGAGGATAACGGGTCCGCGACGTAAGAAGTGATGAGGGAAGTAGTCAAGGCGAGCTGTCCGGAGTGTGGGAACTGTTTTTGACGAAAAGATTAAGGTATCTGCAATCATAAAATGCTATGGAAAGGGAGGGAAACCGGTCCTTGGCGTAGGAAGTGGTGATGAAAGTAGTAAAGGCGAGCAGTCCGGAGGGTTGGAACTGTTTATGACGATTAGATTAATGTATCTGCAATCATAAAATGCTATGGGAAGGGAGGTAAACAGGTCCGTGACGTAGGAAGTGGTGAATGAAGTAGTAAATGCGAGCAGTCCGGAGTGTAGGAACTGTTTATAACCATTAGACTAAGGTATTTGCAATCCTATGATGCTATAGGAAAGGAGGGAAACAGGTCCGCGACTTAGGAAGTGGTGAAGGAAGTACAGGCGAGGAGTCCGGAGTGTGGGAACTGTTTATGACGATTAGAATAAGGTATCTGCAATCATAAAATGCTATGGGAAGGGAAGAAAACGGGTCCGCGACGTAGGAAGTGGTGAAGGAAGTAGTAAAGGCTAGCTGTCCGGAGTGCGGGAACTGTTTATGACAATTAGACTAAGGTATTTGCAATTATAAAATGCTATGAAAAGGGAGGGAAACAGGTCCGTGGCGTAGGAAGAGGCGAATGAAGTAGGCAAGGCAAGCTGTCCGGAGTGTGAGAACTGTTTATGACGATTAGATAAAGGAATCTGCAATCCTTAAATGCCATGGGAAGGGAGGTAAACAGGTCTGTGACATAGGAAGTGGTGAAGGAAGTAGTAAATGCGAGCATCTGGAGTGTGGGAACTCTTTATATGGCCATTAGATTAAGGTATCAACAAACATAAAATGCTATGGGAAGGGAGGAAAACGGGTCCGGGACGTAGGAAGTGATGAAGTAAGTAGTCAAGGCGAGCTGTCCGGAGTGTGGGAACTGTTTTTGACGATTAGATTAAGGTATCTGCAATCATAAAATGCTATGGAAAGGGAGGGAAACAGGTCCGTGGCGTAGGAAGTGGTGATGGAAGTAGTAAAGGCGAGCAGTCCGGAGTGTTGGAACTGTTTACGACGATTAGATTAATGTATCTGCAATCATAAAATGCTATGGGAAGGGAGGGAAACAGGTCCGTGACGTAGGAAGTGGTAAAGGAAGTAGTAAATGCGAGCAGTCCGGAGTGTAGGAACTGATTATGACCGTTAGATTAAGGTATTTGCAATCCTATGATGCTATGGGAAGGGAGGGAAACAGGTCCGCGACGTAGGAAGTGGTGAAGGAAGTAGTAAAGGTGAGCAGTGTTGAGTGTGGGAATGGATTAATGTATCTGCAATGCTAAAATGCTATGGGAAGAGACTGTATACTGTAGACTGTAGACTGTAGGTTAAAATTATTACGATGCACGAATCGATACAAATTTTCGATACATGCAATCGTTTACAATCGAAATTTACAACTGAGTTGAGAACAGCAGATTTTTACTCCATAGAGGATAAAAACTATTTTTACTTTCTAAAGAGTAAAAATGCTACTTTAGACCCGCAACGCATGCATTAAAAACGACTGGTATTACTGTAGTATGACCAAAACAATATAATATAAACCCTTGATGACTCCGCTCAATTTTGTGGATGCCTCTGCGAACGACACCTAGTTTTATTGTTGTTGACATGTGGGGATTATTTTAATATGCTCTCTCTCTCTCACACATATCATCAGCTGGCTTTTTAAATACTGAACATACCGGCCTCTATAAAACAATAGTTTTATAACAATGAACACAAAATTGTGCAAAAAACGGAGCACTGAAGAATATTCTGAATTTTATTTACAACTATTTACAGGTCTTTCTAAGTTTTATGACTTAGTTTTGAGGGAGAGGGAACACTTTAATAACTGGTCTGGTAAGGTAACCGTGTTGAGTCTTCAGATCAACAACCCTGACTTGTCCATCTGTGCCAGGATGCAACTGTGTGACACGGGCTAGGGGTCAGGACAAAGGAGGCGATGAAGAGTGGATCAAGACTAGATCTCCAACTTTTATGTTTTCTTTCTTATGAGTCCACTTGGATCGTTGCTGGAGTGTATGAAGGTACTCTAGTTGCCAGCGCTTCCAAATCCTTTGGTAGAGAGCTTGTACTAGATGCCATCTTTTGAGCCGAGTTAGTGGAATATCAGCATGGTCTTCTTCTGGAATTGATGCCAGCGGAGATCCTATGAGGAAACTCCCCTCTACACCCCGCACCCTAGCGCGGCTGCGCGCCCTGACTAGCTCTGCGACTACTGTATGTTGATAAACAAGGAAGTAAAAATTAAAGAGTTATGTTAGGTTATCCTCCAGTTATAGAACCTTCAAGGGGTCTTAGTCTTAATTGACAATTAAATCTAATGGCCAATCATAGTTTCCAATACATTTATTAAGCTCTGATATAATTAATCAATCTGGAGTAATTTTGATCAAGTTTCAGAAGCCCCCCCCCTCTCTGAACAAAGGTGTGTACTATGTGTAATTGAACGTTCACTGGATAGTCTGAGTTTCAAAATTGTGTCAAAGATTAATATTTTTTTGCATTTTTGTTAGCATGAGGAAAGATGGCTGAAAGTATTGTGAAACCTTAAGAATGGAATGTGTTGGTCATTACAGTTAACGTTTACAACACACAGTAACAATGGTAGTTGAGTTTTAGTACTGATGTCTATCACATTATTTAAACTAGAGTTTAAGATCAAGAAATTTACCCCCTTCCCACAGAACCTTCTGAATCAACTTGGCGTAAGTGTCAAATTTCCTCCACATTGTTTTCAACTACCTACTGCTACTATGACAACAGTAGGCCTATAATCGTGATTCATGGGTGGGAACCAGCTTGACTAGTAGTGGATAAAGTCAAGAGCCACTGTCAGTGGACACTACAGGAGCTAAAGAGCCCCCCCCCCTTGGACCCTGGAAAAATAAAATTAAATGACGGGGAAAAGCTGATTTCATGTTCCTAGTTGTCAAATTGTCTGCTAAGTACTTATTTATATAGGCATCAGTCATCAGCGGTAGCACCAGTAGCCTCATTGACTATATCAATGATATTACTGAATTTGATACTATACATATTGTGACAGATCTATGAAATGGAGAAAAACGTAAGGTTAAAAAATGTGTCTACTTGTTTGTCTGACATATAACAGAGGGGAGGTTTTTGGACAATTGCACACAGTTCTAGACGTTAAAAATGGCTTTATAAAGTCACCAAATGGCTTTTAGGAGATATGGCTTCGTAAACTACATGTTTTGAAAGTCATGAATGCAAGTTCGTCATAGTTTAATTTTTAAAATGTCTACTTCCTCATGACAAATAACAGGTGAAATGAGAGGTTTTTGGACAGTTGGACACAGATACAGAAATTAATAATGGCTTTAGAAAGTCAGTAAACATTTTTTAGGAGTATATATGGCCGTAGCCTACAATATGTTTTGAGATTTATGAATGCAATCGTAATAGTAAGTTTTAAAAATGTCTACTTGTTCATGACAAATAAATGCGAGAATAGGAGGTTTTGCACACAGTTCTAGACGTTAAAAACGGCTTTAGAAAGTCACCAAACGGCTTTTAGGAGGATATGGCCGTAGTCTACGGTGTGTTTTGAAATTCATGAATGCAATCGTCATAGTTACATTTTTTAAATGTCTACTTGCTCATGACAAACAACAGGTGAAATGGGAGTTTATGGACAATTGGGCACTGTTTTAGGGGTTAAAAATGGCTTTAGAAAGTCACCAAATGGCTTTGAAAATTCCAAATTTTTTCGGGGGACGACTCCAAGACCCTCCTACTTTGTTGGGGGGTGCTCCAAACCCCCCGGTGGCCCCCTCCTTGACAAGGTCCTAGAACCGCCACTGGTCACTGTGCTGGTCTCAGGTTTGAACTAGCTCACTTAGCTATGACAAGCTCGACAGACACCTTTAATTTACTGACAGCTATCATATTTTTCATTTATTAAATCTCAGGTTTAGCTCTGAAAAACTAGTGGTAAGCGTTAGCATACACAGGCCCCACTTTGTATGTGGGCTGACTAGATTATTGGCCTTAAGCTCCAAATTTCCCCAGGTCTGAACATACGCCAGGAACTAACACATGATATTTAACTTGTAGTATTTAACTTGTATGTTTTTGGAGTTTCTTATTGGTGCATGATACACATGTTTAGAAATAAGGTCGGCCACAAGTTGCTTGAGGCTGCTGCATGGTTCCCGTCATCGTGTGATGTGAGAAGCCGAGCTTACCGTTACATATCCCTCCTGTCTCATTACACCTTGGTGGACACCTTCAGCAGCCACCCGTCCTGTACTCAGGTAGGAAACGTACATGTACATGCTAGACGCCTAGGTAGATACTGAAGTAAATGTTAACTCTTTTACTTTGTCCGGATGTAACCGTTTTATTACTTCATTTCTTAATAGTTAAGTAAGCTTCTCACAAGAGCATAATAACATGACAATTATATTTTCTCCTTTAAATTTTGACAATATAGTGTGACATAAAAGATGTTAAGGTTTAAAAGTTGTGGCTCAGTCTAGAGGCTGGCCCATTCAACATAAGTACTTTATGTATATTAACATAGTTATGCAATAGAAGTTAGTCTCTGACTGCAGAACGTTCTATTTGTGACTCTACTTGACTTCAATTATACATTTTTATTCTGAAACTGGGTAGCCTACAATTTTAATATGGAAATGGAATGTCCAGTTTGATCAATAGCTAAAAGCTGCTGATACTGAACCACACATTATTATACTGTGGTAACACAGTCTACAGTATTTTAATTATTCTCTAATAAGATAAAATAAACCTAACTGGTGCATGCGTCCCAAATTTTGGGCACATCAACTACTACAAAGAGCCAATAGTGTTAAAAGTCAAACTAAAAACAATAGCTTCAGTATTTTTAGGTTTAAAAACCTTAATTTGAATTAATTACAGTGAAACTTCAATAAAGAAGACCCCCAAAAACAAGCCACCCTAGATATCAAATGTCATTTTCAAATACCTTTATATTACATTTAATTAAATGTTATTGCAAAACTCGATAACAAGTCTTATTTTATAATCCCTAATGTCTTCTCAGGCCAAAAATGTTTTACTGAGTATTTTAAGTCAAGAACGTAATACAACTCAGTAAAATAAAAAATTCAAAATTTCCGAAGTTGACACTAAATCCAAAAGAAGTTTATCTGATTCATTTCATCCTTAAGAGCCAGTTAACTTTCAGCTCAACTTACTTTCCACTTAAATGCTTGTACAGGGAGTGGCAAAATGAAAAATGGTCTGAGGGTTTTCTACGACCGCCCTGTCGAGCGTGTGAGTGGTGGAGGGTGGTGGGAATTGGAGCGTTCCAGAGCCTATGTGTGGACATGTTTTTTGTAGCCATGGAGCTGTGGACGGGTGGGCACCGCGCATTTGTTGTGGAAGCATTTTTTAAATCGGCGATTCCTGTGTAGCTATTTAGTGACAGTTCCGTAGGCGTTACAATGTGGGTCCAAGAAAAAAAGTCCCACCTCGATACACCATTTTGCTGTGGGTGGGTAACTTTAGAGCTACGGGTTCAGAATTAAAACAAAATCAACAGGCCGGCCAAGGTCAGCCCGGACGTCAGATTACGTCAAGAGAGTGAGGGAAGCTAGTCCTCGGTGGCCTGCAAGTAAACAAGTTGCAGCTCTGAACATGTCTGACCACTCGGAAAGAAGAATATTATGGTACAATCTGCACTTTCATCAATACAAAATGGCTATTGTGTAACAGTTGAAGCCCAGTTATTATGCAAATCGCAACACATTTTCAACATGAGTGATGAAGTGCAATTTCATTTAAATGATTATGTGAATAAACATAATTTTATATATTGGTCATAAAAACATCCAGTAGAACTGCATGAAGGACAGGCTAGCAAAATGTTGCGTCAGCCTCAGACTTCATGGGACAACAGCCTTTCTGTGGAATCTCTCATGGGCATGCATGTCACTCAGTTATGTCATGGGCTCAGGAGGAACACAGGAAAAGATGGGTTAGGCTTCAGCACCATAGGGTAAGTAAGCTCACCCTCTTCTCCCCTTCCCAGACGGTCGCCTCCAATGCTCTACGTTTAGACAGGAGGCAACTCAGACAGATCACAGGAATGGTCACTGGACATGGCTTCCTGAAATTGCACCTGCATCGCTTGAGGATCCACAATGGTGACACTGCGTGTAGGAAATGTGGCCAATCAGAGGAGACTGCTGATCACCTACTCTACGACTGCACAGCTCTGAATGAGGTAAGGGACAGTACTCTTGGTGCAATGACAAGGGGTAGACACCTTCCTCAGGAGGAGCTCATAGACAGGATGCTGAAGTTCATTAAGCAACTCAGGTTTGACGGACTCTGAAGTACCATGTGGGGAGTCAAGTGCAAGTCAAATAAATCCTGCACATTGGATGACCTGAAGGAAGCCATACACCAAGAAATAGCCAACCTTTCTCCTGCAATCTAAGGGAAAGTGCTTAACAGTTTAAGTGCTAGATTGGAAGAATGCATGGCCCAATACGGACATAATTTTAAAAACGAAGTTTTCATATCGTAGACGGATCGGATCCGCCGTTTTTTGTTATTTTTATAAATATCCATTAATACCAATTTGTAATATGCAATGAAACACTTTTAATCACTTTAAACCTATGAGTTGTTTACATTTTAAAACTGTCAGATCTTTTTGCCGAACCCTGTACTACAGCCTCATGCGCCAGTCTGTGGACTACTTAGAATCCATATACTCAGAGGCGGATCCAGGACTTTGTTGAAGGGGGGGGGGGGGGGAGCGTACTTAAACTTTTACACATTGTGTGGACAACATTTTGCCATAGATTTATCTGAGGGGAACTTTATGAGGGTTCAAAATAAAACCCATTTTTGAAGTTGGGTTCGGTTAATTGGTATTTGTAAAAAACTTGAATTGGTGAAAAACGTTTCAGTTTATTGGTTGTTTTGCAATAATGTCGCCACGATCATGGAAGACAATAATCACCACGATCGCAGGGTACGTGAAGATTTTGCCGCGATCACGAAACACAATAATTATATATCTTTGCAAATTGCAACCTTGGTAGGTGTTCAGGGTTTGTCCGGATCGCAGGAAACGATAACGAGTCTTGGCGATAAAGAGAGGATAGCGTTGTCTAAGCGACCGCGGGAGATGTTGAAGACAATTTTAAGGTTACATGTAGTCATCTAGATTGGATGTAGATCCTACCGGTATATGTAGAGTGCAATTTATTGATTATCATTTGTTCCCTTTTATTTTTAACCTATTTAAACTCTTAACCAACTATAACGATCTACAGTATTACAAAACCATTACTTAGCCTGTGGTATTTTGACCAAAGAATAAAGCACAAATCATATAAATATCCCCTAAAAAGGAATTGAGAAAAATCATTTAGACAACACTCTCAAACCTCACTAATATGAAACCATTGACTACAAGTATTGAAACAAATCTGTATTTTTTTAACCGAAATAGATAGAAATATTCTGTTTGTGGCGTTGATTGTTAACAAAGGTTCCGTAATTTTTTACATCAAAAATATTTTTTTACCCCCCTAACAGGGTAGGGGGTAGGGGGTGACTTATTTTTTTTCGAATAGCAACCCCTATTGAGTTACCCCTCATTTTGAAGGTTTTGTCAAAAGAAACACAATTACGCGAACCCGAGATGGATATCTCACCCCTAGCCAAAATGGCAGGTATCCAAAATTTGATTTACTGTATATGAAAAAGCACCAATTTCACAAATATGGAAACAAATCTGTATTTTTAAAACCAAAATAGATAGAAATAGAAAAGTTTGTGGAATTGATTGTTAACATAGGTTCCGCAATTTTTTACTTCAACAATATTTTTTAACCCCTTTAACAGAGGGGGTGGGGGTGATTTATTATTTTTAATAACAACCCCTATTGAGTGACCCCTCATTTTGAAGGGTTTGTCAAAAGAAATACAATGGCACAGATCCAAGGTATATATTTCATACCTAGCCTAAATGGCGGGTATTCCAAATTTGATTTATGTGAAAAAGCACCCATATTAGAATACCTGCCATTTTGGCTAGGGGATATTCACCTCGGGTTTGCGTCATTGTGTTTCTTTTGACAAGCCCTACAAAATGAGGTGTCACTTAATAGGGGTTGCTATTTGAAAAAAATAAGTCACCCCCTACCCACTACCCTGTTAGGGGGTTTAAAATTTTTTTTAAATTTGTGTAAAAATTGCGGAACCTTTGTTAAGAATTAACTCCACAAACAGAAAATTTCTATCTATTTCGGTTTAAAAAATTCAGATTTGTTTCAATACTTAATTTACACACTGTATGTAAATCAATTATGGAACACACTCAAAACGAGCTTCAAAATTTACAATAGGATGAAGATTAGGCCTTCATACGTACGTTAAGTCAATGCCAGAACCATTGATTATACAACTAAACTGTAATCTTAAGACAGGTTATGGAATAAAGCTTAGTATATTAGTTTACGGTCACACTGAATTCAATCTAGTTCATATGGACTGTAATGGATCTAGTACAACACATTCATGAGTAGGCAATTAAAAATGTCCTTTATTCAGTCGAATGTGACTGCTTCCTCTAAATAAAAGTACTAAAGTGGAATCTACTTGCAGGATTAAGTAAGTTACGAGGGAGAAAACACATAAATTTGTCAATTTCTGGCAGTTAATTAATTATTTGGTAAGAGTGAGGGCCAGGCCCAACATTATTACATGTTAAACCTACCCGATAGTTACAAATTTTTTATGTCCGAGGGGGAGGGGGGTGGGCTCGCCCTAGCTGGATTTGCCACTGCATATACTAAGTCCCTCTAAAACTTGCATAAATCTCCAGAGAAACTTTCTTAAAGTATATAATGACAAACTTTTTCTTTAATGTACATACGCAATTAAAGTTTTTCAATTATAAGGTGTTTGCACAAACCTATTTACTGTTAGTTAGCTTTTCATCCAGGATGGTTGTGGTGATATTTTAAGTACTGTACAAAATGTCAGCTGACATTCTTATTAGTCAGATTTGTTTATTTTTTTTGTTTGATTGTTATATTCAGTTTTGCTTGTAAAACCTAAGGTTTATTACAATGGTACAATCAGGTTCTTAATTTTTAGTATTGTCAATCCATCAATCTGTTAACATAGTTAATTGCTTTAGTAATTTGAGTTGGAATTGTTAAACATTTTACTCCCATACCTCAAAGTAATACAACTAGTAGAAATTAAGTAATAAGAATCTAAGTATTGTTCACGTTTCTACGTTGTTGACAGATGGAGGTGGTGGACCAATGCCCTCAGGGCCGCTGGGACATCTGTCTGAAGCTGTTGAGAGACAAATACCGTGTTACACTGGTCTTGGACACTACCATGTGTAACAATACCATACCTGACATGTTCTATCTAGCTCTACAGTAAGTATACACTTATATTATTTATATGTAAAATAAAATTGTCAACAATTTAGAATTGTTTTTTACAGTATATATCACATTTAAGATTATGATAAAGTTGATGATGGTTCCAGAGCCAACACAGTGCCAGTAGTTATGTGGCCAGCCAGGAGTGTCTATGAACAGCTGGTGCCTGAGGGATCCTTCATCCACACAGATGACTTCCCATCAGCCCGTGACCTAGCCTGGCACTTGGACAATATATACAAGGATGATGCGGTCTTCAACAAATACCTCAGCTGGCAGGGGACTGGGCTCTTTGTCAAGTCATGGTAAACTCATCAAGATCAGGGGAAATATAAGAACGAAATCAATATGCCCTGAACAATACCGTTTGCTCGGGTAGGGTTTGAAAGAGATTGTTATATGTATTGGGGTTCATGGATACAAGTTTGGAATTGATGATTTCAATAATGAGCCACATTATTTAATACTATAATACTTTTAATTGAAATGGCGACCATACGAATGTAGGTATTTTACAACCTACATACCACAACATACACACATATTGATTTTGTGGTGTTTTTAAGCCAAGTATGAATGAAGATTAGTGTAGGATGAGTGGCTCATCTTGTAGTCTTGTTACTAAATAAGACCGACATGTTCCTTAGACAGGACTGTTAGGTTAATTAATAGGCATGCAGCCAATGACAACTAAAGGACCAACAGTTTATAGTGGAATACAAACCAAAATTTTGCCTTGTTATTTACAAATTGGTCTAATTATCAGGATAGTAGTGCGGATAGTTGTAGAACCAGGCCCGTTTTTGACCCTGCCAGCGCCCTAGGCACAACTAATAGTAGCGCCCCTATGCAATATATATAACAGGGTGTCCATTGATTGGGAAACCTGGGAATTATGCGTGAATTTTGTATTTCTACCTGGAATTTTAAATTTTCCTCGATCGTGCATGACAACTGACGTTTCTGTGACCGCGGGAGATGATAATATGTCTACACACACATACCGCCGCGAGGGATAATCAGAATATTGCCGCGATCAGTGAAGACGATGATTATGTCCACACGACTGCGGGAAATAGGAAGAATTTTTCTGTGATCGCGGAAGTCGATAATGATCTCGGTCTCCACCTGACTGCGGGATATGATTAACATTTTACCACAATCGGGGGAGACGATTACGATGTCTACAGGACCGCGGGAGACACAATACGCAAAGCATGATCAGAATTATGCCGCAATCACGCAAGACAATGATAATGTCCACATGACCGAGGGAAAAGATCATAATTTTGCCTAATTCAATGAAGACGATGATCTCCAAAAGACCGCAGGAGATGATTCACATTTTTCCGCAATCGTGGGAGGCAATTACTATGTCCAAACGACCACGGGGGACGATATAGTGATGTCCTCATGTTTACTGCGATCGCATGCACATGCTACTGCCAATTTTTTATATTCTTGAGTGTGGCAGATTGCGTGAAAATATAATAAATATATCTATGGTTCTTACCGTCAACGCAATCAGGGGTAGTATTTCACTACGGCCGTTTCGGAGATGACTCCATCGTCAGGTGCGTAGCCAATTTTTTGTTTATTTTCTAATATTTTGGCGCCCCAAATAAAAAATCCAATTGCCTCGCGCACTAGACACTTCCCTATTTGGTTAATCGGCCCTACATAGAACTCACTAGTGCGGACATTAATCTACCTTAGGGAGTATTTCATCCACAGATCATGCATATAAATATCCACAATTAATTCTTGACCTCCAAGTAGCTGTGATTACAGGACTATATATATATCTATTTGTTTCAGGTATTGCCGCCTGTGTGCCTTATTGCATCACAACAACTTGCCAGATTTGATGATAGAAGACATCAACCTATGGTGGAACCCTGAGGGAGAATGTACTTCTTGACCAGTGGTATAAACTAGTCCAAACCATCTTCTAACTTTATATTAGGTTGCTTCACTTCTACAATGTATATAATACTCTTCTATTTTCACATTCCAAAGGCATAACAAATTATTCTGTCCAAGGAATACAACCCTACCAAAGACTACAGAATAAGAACTATCGTAATTTGACTTTATTTAAATCTGAATCTGAATAATTTTTCTCAAGAATGTAAGAAATCAAATCCACAAATTATTTGTTTAGCTTTTCACATATGACCAAGGATATAATTTATCAAATTATATTAGGTATGAATATTTCTATTTCTTTAGCAGTTAAATCATTTATTGATACTTAAAAAATTTTCAGTCAAAATAATTAAATATGTTTCAAGAAGTTAATTGAATTCTAATGTGTTAATGTACTTTAATTCAATTTAAAGGTGTAATGTTACCGTAGCTTAACAACTACTGCATTATAAAAATACCATAACATAATAAAATGTGCCTTGGCCCTAGCAGATATGTATTTTGTAGTTAGAACCGTTAGCATATTTTTTATATTGTGATATTGTAAATATGTATATCTTTTACTAGTCTTACTACATGATAATGATTGTGATAAGTGCAATAATGAATGATAATTAATTATGTTTTGTAGGCAAGTGTGATCTCTGTATCAGGTACTATAAAAGTAAATTTTTTAAGGATAGAACATTGTATTGTTTTATTTTAGTTTAGTTACCTTGTTTCATTCCAACATTTTGTTGTAATTGTCAGATGTCCGGCTAGATCTATGCAGTCAGTATTGATATTCAGCAATACCATTCGACGCTTGTAAGACAAAGGGACGTGAGTACATATGATAAGCCTGTGTACTTACGCCCCTTCACCTTGCAAGCCACACATTTAAAGAGAATCTTGTTAACAACTACTACACATGTGCTGTTTAATTTTTGTTACTATGTGGTTGAGGAACATTTAAGTTGGCTTGTTTTTATTGTTTCTCGCACATTGCTGAAAAACTATATCAAAGCTAAAGATATAAGATAATTGTTTGGTTATAACTAATTGTAAAAATGGGTGCAGTTAAAAAATCTAGCTAATCATAATGTAAACCAAAAGGTCAGACCTTAACTGACACTTGCTCAATGAGATCTTTCAAATGAGCCATAAACTAACAAAATTGAGACACCACAGAGGAGTTCTGTCAACAAATTTCATGTTCGCAGTCGAAAACTCTACAAAAAATATGCAATGTACAGACTTCTACATTTTCACCCTCACCCCACGGTTTAAATAAAGACATGTGATTTGAATTTCTTCCATTTGTTTTGATTTAGCTGTGGCCGCGTAATATGTTCTCAATCTTGCCGTTACTACTGAAGGTGTTCTAAATTTGCCATAACCACGGAAGTTATTTATCTATCTTTCTGTGACCACAGAAGATGTTGTCGATCTGGCTGTGACCGCGGAAAACGTTCTCGACCTTACCGTGACCGAGGACAAGGTTCTCAATCTTACCGTGACCTCGGAAGATGTTCTTTATTTTGCCGCAACCGCCGAAGATGTTTTTGATCTTGCCGTGTCCGCGGAAGATGTTCTTGATCTTGCCGTTACTGCGGAACATGTTCTTGATTTTGCCAAGACCTTGGAAGGTGTTTACAAATTTGCCGTGTCCATGGATGACGATCGCAAATTCACCAAACCAAAGACTAAAATAGGTTTTCCTAGTGCGAGTTCAAAATTCTCGCATAGTTCCTGGATTCAATAGATTTATGCAAACTTCCTGGAATTCTCAGCCTGTATGGTCACCCTTATAGGGTCTCAAAGCTCTTGCCCATATGGATGGACGCCCATGGTCCTGTAGGTGACGGATTAGCGAGGTTGTACTGTATAATAAATTTGAAGTGATATTCTCAACCTACAAGCAAACATTTCTTTGTGAACCAAACACTGTAACATTTATAAAATGTGATAATGTTCTAATTGGCATCTTCTAATTGCAGTACATAAGCTGTTATTCAAAATTTAATAAAAAACATCACTTTGTCATGTTTTCTTTACACCTGCTAGATGTTAAGAACAAAGCAAGATCCAGAGAACACAATATGATTTATTTTACTGCTGCATGTTTTTATTTATATGCTGCATTTATTTAGGCCCAGGGGCGGATCCAGCCTCCCCTGAATAATTTTGAACCTTTAAACACGCAGAAGCTATATTATAATGACACTTAATAACAGTGTCCAGAATGTAGTTACAGTAATTCCTTGCAAACTAATCCCAATCCATTCAATTTTATTGTAGTGATAATGCCGCAACCCCTAGGTGTAGCTTAAAGTAATGCGAAAAAAAAATCCAGGCTTTAGGACAAAAAAGATCCATTCAATTTTGTTCATTATCTATCGGTTTTGACTGGGTCTGCACAAAAATAAAAACATCTTGGTTCTAAAAGGGCAAGCGTGACCCGAAAAAGGGCAATAACATAATTGATTTAAATCGTTAAATGATTGTTTTATTTGTAATAGCCTAATGTAAAAATATCTTAAATTGAACAAACAAAAAAACAATTTTCAAATATTCACAATGTAAATATTATTTAGTCATCTATCTATATATATAATTCTGTAAGACCAAATTTTTACCAGAAAATTTTGGACGTCTGGTAAGTCGCAGAAAAGTGGGAGGGGTCTTAAATTAAAGGTCTTGACCCCAGGGACTCGGGAAAAATAGCAGAATTCCCATAAAGTTACCAGAAAACGAGATATAACGTAAAATATCCACCATAAGAAATGCATGGCGACTGAAAAACGTCTGCATTCTGTCAGCTGTTACTTATTTATTTGCAATGTTTACATTTATTCCGAAAGTCAATGTTGGTAAATAATGTTTTAAAATGAATTGTGTTTATTTTTTTGTTTTCCGTTTTTATAATGAGTGAAGTAACTAGACAGGGTAGGGGAAGACCTGCAAGATGTGGAAGTGTGTCCAGGAATTCAACAGACTTAAGAAATGCAAAAGAGGATGTCATGTAGGGCCAGACTTAAGAAATGCAAATAGGATGTCATGTAGGGCCTAACTGTGAAAGAAATCCAGAAGCTGTTTTACAACCCGTCTTTAAATAAACGCTGGAAAATGAGTTGAGTGTTGTTTCTCACAATCTAGGTCCTCTTAAAGCACTTGCATGCATTGTGGCGCATTTCACTTTGTAGAGGAGGCCACAAATGGACATTTCAACGCATGTTGCCACAACTACAAGTAAATGACAAACTAAAAGAACTGTTTTTACTTGATTCGAACTTCATAAAAAAAAAAACATAAGGCAACACAACAGTGCAATGGCTTTTGCATCACTTTCCGCTACACAAAAAGATATTCCGGGAAATGGGGCCTTACTGTTTTAAAATTCAGGGACAAATTCATAGATATATTTCTGACTTACTACCACGAAATGGGGAGTTGCCTTCATAATAATTTTAACCTTTACATTTGGTTCTCAAAATGGAAACTATAACAGATTTCGTAAGATTACAAAACAAATCTTCAATTTAAAACTAGAAAAGATGTGCAATGTTTGGCTGTATGATTTCAGCTCTGATTCTTCGTTCTCCGGGCTCAGGCCAAACCGTGTGCACGTTTCCATTTGTTAATATGTTGTGTTATTGATTTAATCATTATTTTACAATTGTATTTCATTGTCACATCAGAAGGAACTAATATACGACTCAAACGGAAGGAAAACCAAGATATAAAACAAGAAACACTGTTAATTTTAAGTAACATAAAATTGATAATTTTAAAAACATATTTCGAATATTTGTTTTAGCGAATTTCCCTATAGGGAAGTAGCTATTACCGTAGGTCTCATGGTAAGACCTAGGCCTGGGACCGATTTACTTTTTCATTTTGATGTCCCCAGAGGCCAAAAACACCATTCGTTCAAATTTTTATATATGTATATATATATCTATATATAGATACTAGCTGACCCGGCGAACTTCGTATCGCCTAAGTTATAGGTTTCCCCTAAGACAGACCGATGGAAAGAAAGTACCGTTACGTTTAATTTTCAAGATGATCTCGTTCGCTTCGCTCAATCACGTCCTGGTTGAAGTTCGTTCGCTACGCTCACTCACCTTTCGGTTGGAGCTCGTTCGCTACGCTCACTAACCTTTGGGTTGGAGCTCGTTTGCTACGCTCACTCACCTTTGGGTTGGAGCTCGTTCGCTGCGCTCACTTGCCTTCAGGTTAGCTCGATCGCTACGCTAACTCGCCTCCAGGTTGAAGTTCGTTCGCTACGCTCACTCACCTTTGGGTTGAAGCTCGTTCGCTACGCTCACTCACCTTTTGGTTGCAAATTAGCTGTTGTCATAAATGTAAAAGAAATAATAGTGCTGCACCCTGTTGGTAATCCTTGTAACTTTAATGCTATTGAACATCATAGAACAGAACCAACTTGTTTAATTGAAACAGCTGTTAAGATTCATTAATTCCATTTCTCATAAGGTTAACATGGGAAACTCCAGAGCCACTGGGGCGGAGCCCTTTTAAGAATTTCGAAACGGGAAATAGTTTACGTCCGATTCGCATACCTACAGAATTTACACACCAAATTTCATAACGATCGGTGAAGTCGTTCCGGAGGAGTTTGCAGACAAACACTGTGACACGAAAATTTTATATATTAGATATATATATATATATATATATATATATATATAAGTGTGTCCATCCGCACGATAACTTGAGTAATTTTTGCCCGATTTTGATAAAATTTGGTATGAAGGTGTAAGGCGGGATAAACTTGAACGAGTTCGCGAACCAGCATGATCCGTCTTTGAGAACGGGGGTTTACGGGGGGTTTTATGGGGTAAAAATAGGTTTTTCCCATTTTTGACTCAAAAAACATAAAATTTAGCAATTTCTTTCCAAACCATTTTGTAGAGATTAAAAAAACAAATAATTTAGTATATTGAAGTGTTATTATGCGCCTAATGGTTACGGAGAAAATTCAAAAAAATTTAAATTTTAAATTCCCATGTTATTCTTATGGAGAACAAGTAAACTGTTGTAGTTTGCTTGTTTATGAACACATTTTGATCAAATTTGGAAAATGTTTTTATTTATTACTAAGTATTAACATTTTACAAAAAAAAAGTTTTACCCTCCCTGATGCAGCAAACCTAAGTACTTGATAAACTAATTCTATTTAAATATGAAATAAATTTTATATTTTTAAGTAGACATTTTAGTGTATATCCAATCAGGCAAATGGAAATTCGCTTAGTCTGCAGGTTTGCTGCGGTGGGGGTATTTTTATATATGTTTTTTTATTGTAGTCTAAACTAGGGGCCATGGCCCCTAGTTTACAGGGTCATACAGGCCACTAGTTTTAATTATTTTTGTATTGCATTATGACCATTCAAATATTACAAAGAGTGTAATGAATATTGCAACTTTGGGAAAACGAATAATCTAGTTCCAGGTAATTAAATCCAACCGAATTGGTAAAACTATTGATTATATATTATCATTGATTAAAAAGAGTAGGTCTACTCTTTAATCTGTGATGTCTCCCCTGTATAATCGATGGTATCATTGACTGACTGCAGTGTCTGTCCATCTGACAGCAGGAAACTGAAGTCACTGGAACAAGTCGAGGTTAGGTAGGTTAGCTTGCGTTTGCTGTTTTCACACAGCCACTGTCGGTAGTTTTAGCTTTAGGTTTTTAAAATAATGGTAAAAGTATAATATATTACAGAGGCAGCCAATTTTTTGCACAAAAATGTATATAAGTTAGAAATGTGAGTTGCCATACTTAACGTTAAATCAAATCGCATCAAGAATTCACATCCAAACAAACAAAAACTTGGCATGGCGTTGACAATATTTCGTGATATTGAAGTATGAAAAATAAAATGTCATTAGATACTGTTTGATTAAAACTCATTTCAGTTATTTCAAATTATAAATTTTGTATATTTAGACCCAAAAAATGTTTAAGGGAGGGGGGCCTGGCCTAAAACTTCTCTTATCACGTGTACTAGTGAAATTACCTGCTGTCAAGTGATTCTTGTGTGGTTTCGATCCTCATGGGGTCATCTTCAGGTGGACGTCGTCATCTTCACTTTGTTCTTGCGAACACGTTGATTAAAAAAAAAAAACATTTGAGTCATAGTTTTTCAAAACACAAAAAATGGCCAATAACTATTACCTATCGGTCAAGCAGCGGGCGACACGGAAGTATAGTCTAGACTGACTGCTGCATGTCGGTGTCATTGTTTCCTTGTCCCCCACCCCTTATCTTTCTAATCAGGTGCACGCTTTTGTTTGTATCCATCTACGACTATTTTTAATTGTTTTCTCAAATATAATATTAGATGCGAAAGAGAGCTTGTCATTCAGAACATTTTGTGGGTCCTGTTTTACAGCTTTACAGTATATTTTGAACTCCTCAATTGTTGTCACCCGAATGGTTATTTATTGAATTTATGGAGAATTTTTCTAAATGATTATCGATGTCAGTGTAGCTGTGGTTGTTATCAATCAAATCTCTTCTCTTATCAATTGAATGATAAGTGATAAGCTGAGGTTACACTTGCCTCCAGGTTCCAATTACCACTAACCCATTTCAGCATAACAATATTTTCATCCAAAGAACATTTCTTTGATTCCCTAAGAGTGGGGGATGATAAAAAAGAACAGGTTTCAAGTAATGGACAATATGCAACGTTTTATCACAATTTATTGAAAATGTTTGTACAGAAATAAATATACAACACTGCCACTTTAACTTGACCAATCATACATAAGCAGAGTAAGGTTGACTTTAGAAGAATCATTATTGATAAAGTTTGCACATCTAGTAAAACCAATCTTCTTTCTCGTAGTATAGTTTAATTTCAGTCTTTTTAAATTTAAAAACTGTTAAAATAAAATGGTTGTTTCGTAACAATTAACAACATACCCTTGAGCAAGTAAATCGTGCAGACTTCCTCTGACAAATGTTTTCGGCAAATAAAAACAAAAACCAAAAAGTACAACCTCAATCAATGTAAAGTTAAAAGTTTTGGGAAGATTAATAAATTATATCCTTACCCTACACTTCCTATAGCCTATTAATATCTAAAAAGTCACTAGATGAGACAGTCCACAATGGTTTATAACAGTCTAACAAATTCACAAGCAGTTATAAGTACTTAACTAATTACCACTGACATTGTATTGGTTGTCTTGTTGACCAGTCTTTCACTTGAATAATAGGCCTATTGTTTTACATAACACTCCATTTTTAAACAAAGTCAAAAGAGTTGATTTAAACAATTGAATTGTTTAAGATTTGATCGTTTCATTTTGTAACATAAAAGTGAAGTTAGGCCTATTGAAATGTTTGTGGATTAATGAAACATGTTGTATGTAGAACAATGATTAATAGAATCTTATTAAGACCAAAATGATTATTTGAACTGTATAATAAAGGTGAACAAAGATATAACCTTAAGAGATACCACAATACAACATAGTCTGTAACTTTCCATCAACTAAATTAAATGTTATCAGACACAGGATATTAAATAAGATGTTTTAAGTTACCCTGCACATCTGCATTATCAATAATTTGATTACTGTGCACTACTGGCAAACAATCTTAAATACATTGGGTCACTGTAAGCCACCTATGGAGATACCCATGGCGGCCCATGGTGTATGTGGGCCAAGGAAACCACATGCACTTATTACTCTGCATTGAACAAGTTAATAAAATAAATTATTGTAGATACTACATAAAAATATGGTTACATGACTAGAGTGGGTGGTCTTTTTTCATAGAGATACCGGATTAAAATATTCTTTTAAAAATATAATCGTAATTTATAATTAATAATTGTTGCTTGGTTGCTGTGATTTAACGAAGCCACTAAAGATAGTGGCATACGTTTTGGTAAAGGTGAGAACAAAAAAAATAATGTCTTGCAAAAATGCAAATATTAGGCAATACGATTAATTTTAAAATATAGGCACCAACATAACACCCATCCCAATATTCAATGCCCAAAAACATTGTTTTCCGCAACTAATATTATTGTAGGGAAATAGTTAAGATACTATTGCTACTAGTGAAGACCTTACTTAAGTTTGGAGTCAATATACTCTAGATACTCCTTACTAACAACTGTTAGAGTGGCACCAGACACAACTCCAGCAGAGACAGCAAGCAGCTTGTTGTCTGGCAGAATGTTTCTCAGCACGGCCCACAGCAACACTGATCCGAACGTGAACAGCAACGATCCACATGCACTGAAAGTAATATTTTAGTGTGAGACATTAACTTGTTTGTCCAGCCCACTGCAATAGGCTACGGATCCAAATGTAATCATCAACGATCCACATGCAGTTAAAATAATATCTTAGTCAATGTAAAGCATCAACTTGTTTGGCATCCTGTTTCACACATCCCGTGATTTCATAGAACTCCATTAATTTATTGCTTTGCTTGGCAAGTCTGAACAAATCATACAGACATGAAATTGTTTAGGATGTTGTTACAATTTACCATGGTAAGCATGAGTGGTTTAGTCATTAATAGTTGCTTACCACTATCTATGAAAAACATGTGTTGCATTAGTTAGGCTACTAATAAAGAATTTTTGGAGAAAGCAGAATGGGAACACCGATTCCCATTGAACAATGGTAAGCAGACAAAAGAGTAAACATTTTAAAATACATGCAGTAATTTGACAACTGAGAGGACATAATACTGACAAAAAATGCTATTGCTGAGAATATGCTACTGAAAATGTGTGCTACATTAGATTCTACGTACTAGGGTAAGTATAAAGGATGCTTACTAATATCAATTACATTTCCATTAAATCTAGAAAGTTAAAATTTGTCATTCAATATTAGCTAAGCTAGTTTAATATCTTTTGCTAGGTTTGTGTATGATTCTAGGTTAGTTACACACCATCAGTGATCAAAACAAAGAAATGACTTTTTTAAAGAAGTTCTAAATAATAATAGGCTAGGTCAATAGGGAATACAGGATAGTACTAGGAAGCTAGTGCAAGAAATTAACAAACCCATGTCTCTCGTTTGGTGGAATTAAGTACATAGGCCTACCTGTATAAAATTTGTTTCTGTTTGGGAGCTGATTTGACCAGTTTAGTGTTTGCCATGTAAAGTCCTGTACCAACAACTGAGCCTAAAAGAAGGAAGTTTGTGACGTCTCGCTTCGGTGATATCCTGTGGTAAAAAAACAATAAGAATAAGAGTAATTCCATAGGCCATACCATTCCTACAATTGAGATGTATTAGGAGAACATCCAACAATTATGCAGTGTAATATTATTTAGGCCTGACATAATGAATATCAAATTTTCTTTCATCGTTCAACCTTACATTAGGGGCTCAGGAAGGTTTTCTTTATGTATTTTATATTTTTTGATTAAATAGGCCTATACGGTAAGGATGAGCATCGATAATAGAGGTTTTCGAAAAACATCTAAAATGTTTTTCTATCCATATTCAAGGTTTTTTACATGGATGGTAAGACACCAATGTTTTTGGTTAATTATCGTAGGCTAATACTGAATTGATGTTTTTTCCAAAACTAAATTTAGTTTTAGCCAATTTCTCCTATAGGGAAGTAGCTATTAACTGGAGTCACCGTTAATAACAAATTCACAAATCATTTAACTAATGATGGTGTTATTGGCCACTGGGGACCTCAAAACGAAAAAGTAAATCGGTCCCGGGTTCAGGTCTAAGGATGAGACCTACGGTAATAGCTTATTCCCTATATGGGAAATTCGCTAATAATCCCTATATGGGAAATCCGCTAATATTCCCTATATGGGAAATTTGCTAATATTCCCTATATGGGTAATTTGCTAATATTTCCTATATGGGAAATTCGCTAAAAACCATCCATTTTCAATGTTTGCCTTAAAAACATTGTTTTTGCCCTGAAAACATCTAGGCCTATGTTTTTGCTATGATGTTATTGGTACAATGGTACAACGATGGTTAATACTATATGTTATCATCGATGGTGAACATTGATTTTTTCCTATTGATGCTCATCCCTACTAACTTAGGCTATACGGTTTTCCTGGGTCTTGGCGCCTTAAAACCAAGGCAGACGGTGCGCCGCGCCTTTTTACTGGAAGGCTAGACTATCAGTGGACTCTATGGTTGGTCATTTCCATCCAATTGGTTTACAGATAAGCCTTCTAAGTTTTTTTTTGTACTTTCCTGTTAAAGGGAACATTCACTATTATCAATGATTTCTTTCCGATCTATCGATATTAATTTTTTTGTTTGATCTTAGATAGTTCTATTAACAAATTGAAAGTTATCATCTGACAACTAGGCCTACGAAAAATAAATATTGTTCAGTATCAACAAACAATAAAAAAAATATTTTATTGAAATGTAACTGTTCTAAACTAGCCAAACTTGCTGTAACATTTCAAAATTCTGTTTGATAGCCTATCCCCCATATGCCTTTTCTGTTATCAAACCGAATTTTGAAACGGTAACTTAGCCTACAGCAAGTTTGGTTAGCTAACTTATAGGTTAGTTTATAATAGTTTCATCTTTTAATCCAATATATAGGCTATTATTTTTGCCTAAACAAGATTATTAAGTAGTTCTTGATCATATTCTCTAATACAAGCTATAACTCAATAACTCGGTTAAGTTATTGAACCAAGTATAACTTAGACATATTTACTATGTCTGTTTGTCTGTCCGTCTGTAATTTAAATGAGTTTGAAGATATTAAAACAGGTGGAATATAGATCGTAAAGGAAAACAAAATATGGATATATTGAAAAGGGTAGGTGTATGGCTCTGGGGAGTGGGATTTTTTGACCGGTATTTATCCCTATTCAGGGAAACTTTTACAAACATTTGGTCACTTTCCTACCTAATCATCCATGATAATGAATGTTCCCCTTAACAGGAAAGTAACGTTTTTTGGCAAACTTACAATAAGTAAGTTTACCTACTCCTAAGTATCAAACTTATAAATAAGTTAGGTTATAAATAAGTTATAAATAACTTATAAATAAGTTAAGTTAATAAAGTTATTAATACTAATTTAAGTTAATTATGATAATAAAACTAAGACACTACTACCATAGACAACAAGAATTAAATATAGACTGTCAGCCGTGCTGCGGTTACCATGGTTACCATAGGTTCCGGCACACACCGCTGTAGTTTACGTAGCGCGTACGCCGTAACTACATGGCGCTCCAAGCGGTGTGCGCCAAACCGCAGCACAGCTGACGGTCTATATTTAATTCTTTTTGTCTATGCTACTACCTACGCGCACGGGGGTACACAAGACCCCAATGAACACAGTACTGGTCACAAGCATGCACGTGGGAGTATGCCAGACCCAGGGTGGTGATAACAGGTCAATGACTCGGTCAAGACTAACTTACATAACAACCCTACGGCCAGATGTTATGCTATTTTAGGCAGCTACTGTTATGCTAACCAGGGTTTCGGTAGCCTACTTATTCAGGACCCAGAACCCAGCTTAAACGTTCTAAAATCACTTTTAAACTATTCTAGGACATCAATACTACATCTTTATTAAAGAATTTTTTGGCGCCGAGGCCTCGTTTTATTACTAATTAAATATATAAACAATATTCCCAACTCACTAGGGGGCCGGTGGGAATTCGGGGTTTTGGGTGGGGGAGATAAAACGTGGTTAATCATGGGCAGAAAAGGGTAAATCGACGGATAAAAGGGTAATTTATTGGTAACTAGTGTCCCTGTTGCTCGATTTCGAGCAATTGTTAAGTATTACAGGCGTTTAACAGTCATAAATTCTGATGACTTTAAAAGATTCGACTCAAAGATTGTGGAAATATGTAGGCCTACTCAAGATGTACATAACAGATCGATATAGGCCTAATCAACATTTCTTGTAAATATCTTATAATTTTTCAAAAGCTGATCTTGTTTTTTAGTGTTTTCTACAAAGACCCTACTCATAGCCACATAAGGTTGTCCGTAATTACGGTTATGGATAAAAAAAAAAACTTCATTTCTATTTCTTCTCCTTGCCTTGGTGGTGTTCTATGACTTTCCTATGTTTCCATAGTTTGTAAATCGGCTCTTTCAATGATTACTAAGAAATGCAGCACAGTATTAATTCAGATTTCTTTTTAGTATATCAAATTGTACAGGCTCTCTCGCTTTTTTCCATTGTAATATTTACGCCAACCCAAATTCAAATAGTAAATATTTCATTTCAACCAAGTCAGTAAATGTTTGTAGCAAACTGTAAAATTAGCAAACTTATTGACTGATTACAATTAACATATGTTCTTCTCACTTTTAATTTCTGACAACAGCTGGAGTTCCATAACAATTTTTGTTTTCCATGATAATCTTATGGAGAAATATGAAACTTTAATGGGCCCCAGGGCCTCAATCTCTAATTATTTCCCAAAAAAGATAGTTTCCTGCACAACTTACGCTCTTTCCAATGACACCAAAAACATGTCAATCGGTTCAGTTGGAGGAATAATTGTCATAAAAAACCTGCTTGCGTATTAAATAAGTATAGATTACCCAGCAAGAATGGAAAATTAGACGGTTCTTTGCCGCCGACGACGACGAGCAGAGCCGGCAGAGACAGGAAGACCATCAGAATTGTATTGTACTATATTATTATGTAAATAAAAACAATAACAAAGTAAAAATAAAGTTGTTTGTTTATTTCATCCTATATATTTAGTCAAATAATGGCTTTAAAAATATTTAAATAGGTCAATAAAAAGTGGTGTAACATGGGGGCGAGAGGTAAGCGTAAGCTCCTCAGGGAGGGGGAGCTGTCTATGACAGCTCCTCCTCCAAGACCGCTGTGAGTCGACTTTGTTCAGCAAAATCGTACTGTGCTATGCACAGCCTGCAAGGGTTGCCTCTGCACTCGCTGAAGGCAGCGGATCTAGCGCTGGCTGTGTCGTGACTAGACAGCCCTAGGGTAGGGAGCGGCTGCTCTAGTACTGGCCTTGGGCGGAGGTGACAATCACCAATCTGGCCAAGGCCCAGATAGCTAATGTTACCGACAACTGTTATAGGTATGGTGGTACATAATGATGATTTGGACTTGCCTTCAGATCACATGTCCAAAAAATACTCCTTTGGAAAGCCTTTCAAAGTACTAATACCAGATAGGAAGGATTGGTCTGGCGGAAAAGGACCCATACCCACAGGTGATTTAGAATGCTATACTGATGGTTCTAAGATCAAAAATGGGGGCACTGGAGCAGGTGCGCATTGGACAAATGGAGGCACTGGTATTTGTCTTCCCATGGGGGTGTACCCAACTGTTTTTCAAGCGGAGGTCACTGCCATTCTGGTTTGTGCTCGAGAACATCTTAACAAAGACATCAGAGACAAAACAATCAATATCTATACTGATAGTCAAGCGACCTTAAAAGCATTAAACTCTTACGAATTCAACTCCAGGCTCGTGTGGGACTGTCTTGCTTCTGTGTCTGAGTTGGGTAGGAGATATAAACCTATATGACCTTAAACGCTTTGCTGGGTGCCAGGACACTCAGGCATAAAAGGTAATGAAGCTGCAGATAGATTGGCAAATACTGCCTCTGCGACAACAATGATAGGCCCACAACCCTTCTGTGGCATCTCACGAAACAGTGCATGTTCTGCGATTGCGTAATGGGCCAAGGAAAAGCATCGCAAACGCTGGGTCGATGTTCCCCTTCTTAGGGTCAGCAAGCTTACTCTGTTTAGGCCTTCTAAAAAGGTCGCCTCTGACCTCTTGAGACTAGACAGACGAAGAATTAAATTAACTGTTGAACTGATAACTGGTCATGGGAGATTCAGGAAACATCTACAACGGATGGGCTTATATGATGGTGAACCGATCTGTAGGTACTGTGATAGGTCAGAAGAGACAGCTGATCACTTACTCTTTGATTGTAACGAGCTCTCTGACGCTAGATTGATAACTCTTGGAAATATGGCTAGAGGTAGATATCTTCCTGAGGATGAACTAATTGGGAAGCTACAGGCATTCAGTGGGTGCCTTAACTTGTAGGTCAACAAGAAAGCAATTGTCTAGGGTGTGCAATAATTCGATTTCGGATGAAGTGTTTTAAGGTCTCGACCTGCCCCTGCTAGATAAGATAAGTGGTGTAACATCTATCACCTGTGTGAATAGCCTATCCTTACCTCTAAAAACGTGAAGT